AGAGACGGCCTGCTGTGGTGAGCAGCACTGAGTGGGCCTAGAAAGAGAGGTGGTCCTCCCCGGAATGAAAAGACTCTTGATACCCTGTGAGTTCTCACTTTAGGATTTCTTAACCCTGAAATAGGACAAACTTCCTTCTTTATTAAACACCATTGAAAACAGGATTTGTCTAAGAAAATGTGCCTCTTGTTGCTCTGTGTTGTGGACGGTTATGGAAAGACTGCAGGGGGCACAGGGTGGGGGCACAGGGCAGCATCCCAGTCACCTGTCAGATTCCCAGACCTCCCAGGAAAACAGAGGGACACTGATCAGATGTCCTCCAGGGAAAGGCTCCAGGACTGGGGTGGCCCTGCCCAGGGATATGGTCCTTGCAAGTAGTAAAAGGGGCCAAGACCAGGACAGAAAAGCTCTCAGGCAGACAGCACAGAACATCTGTGTAGGGGGAGACCTTGGCCATAAGGCAGAGGCAGGGAAAGGGGGAGGTGTGAGAAGTCCAAGGAGAACACAGGAGTGTCCTTCATGTGAGGCCATTTCTCTATTCCCACTCTACTGTACTCAATGGATGAAGTGCCATTTCGCTGAGAAAAATGTAAGGCAAAATCCTTTATAAAGATTTTCTCACTTGGATTTTCAATGGAGGCGAATGAGTTCCAGCATATAGGCAGAGATTGATTTTTCAAAAACATTTATCAGTTGGGACAGATATATGTTCTAAAACAGTTGGACCCGTTATTCCATAATCACTTCACATTGCCTGAACACAAGGATTCTATCTGCTCTTCTATTTCCAGAGATGATGGGGTGATGTGCTTGTGGGAGCAGATGATCACCTGTTTCCTGGCAGGAAGACACCTGCTATAGCATCCACTCTTGGTCTTATTATATTTCTGTATCACTTTCACATTATTTTCTCTTTTCCATGGGTATTTAGAGTCTACAGAAATGATAACAACTGTTTCCTGTAGCTCCCTGTGGTGATGGGCACCAAGCGCCCAGGAAGCACCAGCTGGCACMAGACATCTGCAGCCTGGCATGTCTAGAAGACCAACAGTAACCACAGCTATGAGTGTGAGTGACAGCCCAGGAAGAGACCCAGCTCTTGGAGCCATCCAACACAGCAAGGGCAGAAGACTTATTCAGAACCAGCAGAGGAAARAACACAAGTTGTAAAGCTTATGAAAGGTTTGTGCTAAAACCAGCTCAAGATCAAAAACTGATAGTTTGATTCTCCCAGTTACAAGCCTTTTCTGTTTCAATCCATTATCTTTGAAGATAGTTGAACTTCAGAAAAAAAAAAAAGGTGAATTTGTAGAAAGTAGGTGAGCATTTTGCCAACAAGGTAACCAGGCAAAAACTCAGCCAAGGTGATATCATCATATATTTCATTTTCTTCCTGGTTGGCAATACTTAAAACACAAGGTCTAAATTAGAGCAAATTCTATTTCATGTTTCTGTGGTTATGTGAAAATGAATCCTAACGTTATATATAACTAGAAAGAGAAGCTTGTAGATGCACATAATAGATTGGTAATTACCAGAGACTAGGGTGGGAGGACTYGGCAGATGTTGGTCAATGTATATTAAATTTGAGTTAAGCAGGAAGAAAATGTTCAGGAGATCCACTGAACACTACATTTACTAGAGATGAGTTTATACTCGAAATTGGCTAAGAGAATAGATTGTAAATGTTCTACTAGAAAAAAAAAGGTATATCACATAGTATAAATATATTCATTAGCTCAATCTACTGGTTAAATGTTTTACACCTTAAATATATATAATTTTCATTGATATTTAAAATATAAAAATATTTTCCAAGTATTTTAAATTATATTTAAAGGAAGAATAACTAGATTGAAATGAGTTTCAATTGGGAATATTTGAAATTCAAGATATTTGATTTTATATAAATTTTCTTTGGAAAGTTTGATGATTTCTGCAATTTTGTGATTTTCAATTAAATATTTTTAGCTGTAGATGAACACAATATATATATATTTTAAATATTTATTTTCTTTTAGTTTTCGGCGAACACAACATCTTTGTTTGTATGTGGTGCTGAGGATCGAACCTGGGCCGCACGCATGCCAGGCGAGCGCACTACTGCTTGAGCCACATCCCCAGCCCACAATATATTTTTTATGTGGTGCCAAGAATCAAACCCAGTGCCTCACACATGCCAAGCAAGTGCTCTACCACTAAACCACAACCCCAGCCCCAATTGTTTGAGTTTTTGACATCTAACAGTTCATTTCTCATAGATTCACAATTCACCCAGCTTATGATGGAAGTGTATAATTGAATGTTCTTTGGAAGAATCTCACCAAGGAGGTCGACAGCAGTTTAAGATACAACAAATACCACACAAAAAATAAAACACATGGTAGTGAAAACAAATGGTGTCCTTTAGAGACTGATGAATCTGAATTTTTTGGTGACTGTGGGAGCTGCCCTGGATGCAGATGCCTTTAAGTCCCCATGCACCGGGTTCTGAACAATTACTGCGCCCCACAATAACTTGGGCTTTAACTCCACTCTGATAATGAGGTGTGACACCAGGAGTAGGTGTTACCCAGTGGGCTTGAGTTACAGCACCTGTTCCTTTGCCCTTTTGGGGATAGAGTGTTCCACGGAACCTCCCCTTGGGTTTCCCCTGTATAGGAATTCCAGTGGCGCTTTCTCTTTCCACGGGCCCTTAAGGTTGGAGAGCCATCACAGATTTTTAAAGGTACTTCTGTGTTTGCGTCCTTTCTTAAGTTACTGAATAGTCAGATTTTGTGAACCCAGCCTTAGGTTGCCAGCTAGGATAAATGGCGATAGGTAACGATCTTTTATAACATTCAGCACCCATGGTAAGAGCTCACTTCCTTGAACCACTGCTCATGAAGGGCAACTCTACCACTGCCAGCTGTGACTGGAGGCCACAGGGCTTGGTTGTGTCTGCCCAACCTGCTCTGCTTCTGGGCTTTTCTACCAGTCATGTGGGAACAACTGGCAAGAGCTCCGGGACACAAGAGCAAGCGCCAGACAGTGGTCAGTGTGCAGGAAGCCAGAGGATGAGCAGATGCATGCCYGGGGTCTGCCAACAGAAGCTATGCTGTTCAAAAGCACTGGCTGAAGGACCATCTGTGAAGGTCACCTGTTCACACTTCCGTCGCTCATAGACACAGCTAGTCACCACACTTAGAGTAGGTTCATAGGAAACGGTCTGGAAGTTGTTCAATCCACACTGCTTATTCCTGAAGGAGCCTCACGCTTTACGAAATCATAAAACTACAATTCCCAGCCCACTTACGGTTTTATGGACCCAAATTACACAAGCAGATTCTCTTTGATACTCATCATTTTGTCCATTGGCTTTATGCTCAAGTGCCACTAACTGTGGGGAAAAGTCTCTCAGGCTATACAAGCTACACTTAGAAAACACCTGCAGCTTAATTTGTATACTACTGGTCCTAAATTTCTAATCTCGTTCAAGAAATACTTTGAGACTTTTAAGGACAAGATTAAAAATTCTTTGCTYATCCCTTTTTCCTTTGCCAAGCAACTCTTACCAGCACTGAGAGTACATTTTTAGGAAAAGCAAATCATTTAGTCATAACTCTGTGTTGTTGCCGTTTAGCAGAACTGGGGGATCTTAAACACTTAGACATGAAGAAAATTTAGAGATTAGCAAATTCAATTCACTCATTTTACAGAAGAAACTGAGGCCTCGGACGCAGGGCTTCCTCTGGGGTCGTGTGGCCAACCACCAGCCAGACTGGGTTCAAATCCTGAGCCTCGGCCCCCCTCAAATGTGTTGAAGCTCCTCCTTTATCTGTGCTGAAGTCACATTTTAAAGATGATCTTGGGAGAACATAATCATGATAGTAAATCTGTTTCACTGTATAACCCTAAGCATGTTTTATACTCAAAGGTCAAATACAAGCTGCAGGAAGTTTTTCACAGAGTACCTACAGTACGATCCTCCTAAAAAGTGAAGATTGGATTCTGGCTGATGGTACTGTGTTGCATTACGTACTTAAATGACATGAAAGATTAAATTTCTAATCCAACCAAAATTAAAATCAGTTTTCAAATTTTCAGTGACACAATCTAGTTAATATTTCACTAACACCCAAAAGCATTAGAAGTTTTCTTATTTAAGGACACGCGTCCTGTGAATACTTTTGGAAAGTCCAAACTTTCAGTCACACAGAACTCACATATTTTATATGTTGAATTTTTTGGTTATCCAGTCATAATAGAGAGCACATTTGTGCTACATTACATAGAACCTAACTGGAGATGAAACTCAAACACTGAAAACTCATGTTACAATTTTCAAATATCTATGAGATGCAGGCCTTTCTTAGATAACTAAGTGCTAAAGGGATGATTATCAGTCAACTCCAATTAATGAGGATGATCAAACAGCCTGACCAATACCCATTTTGGGGACTATTTACTGTGTTGAACACTTCTCACCTCATTCTGAAAGAATACATTTTATATCCCCATTAACCACTGCCCTCCCACCACCACACTGCTCTAAAGCTTGGCTGACCAGCGTTCTTTGAAGTGCAGCATCCCAGAGGGCAGACAGGGAAGACAACGCTAGAAATCGGCAGGTGAAGGGCTACATGTGGCTGCAAGCATTTCACCTCAGCCCATGCACACACCATCCCATCTCCCAATTAAGCCCGAGACTCTCACATGCCAACAAAAATCCGAGTGACCTGCAAGGACAAGATAGTACTGCTCCACATACTCAAAGAGCTCTACTTAACTGAGGAATTACAACAAAACTGGAGAGAGTGAGAAATGTTTTTCTAACTCGAGAATCTAGAGGACTCACAGGAATCCATGCCAGCATGAGAGAGAGATGAACCCATCCTGAAGAGGGTAGATCTAGTTTTTATTCTCACACTGAGCACTGACTCATGATTCCCAGGTCTCTGTGGGCTGCTTAATTAAGACGGCTCTCTACACTGCCCATGGTAACTGAGGTGACCCAGTACCTCCGGATGGCCACGGTGAGGGCCTCTGGTGAGCTGGCACACGGACAGATGACCTCCTGACGAAGGCCTTTACTCTGGAAGACATTGAGAAACGCATCACAAGAAGAAATAGACCCTGGAGGGGGGAAAAGGGACAAGGGTCAGACAGCTGCAGCACTGGGGCCAAATTTAAAATATTCTAGAATATAAAACAGTTTTGAAGTGATTTTATGCACATGGATTTGGATCATGGAGAAACAGATCAAGTTATTCTTTATGTTATAAGGAAAATATTCTCAAAATCCGAAATCCAGATTTTTTAAGACAGCAACTTCTATGCTTAAGACGTTTTTGCTTATTTTAGCAACTTTTCTGAAACTGGTTACTCCATGGTCAGTACAAAAGTTTTGAAAAATGCATGAATCTAAAGTAAATGATTCAAACTCTCTATATTAACTTGGATATGACTCAAGTATAATTAATATAYCAACTGAACTATTTTCAAATTCAGAATTGCTTTGCTTTATACAAGATGTATTGTTCTGAGCATTATAGATTAAGATCAATTACTTACTCAATAAGCTCACATTTACTGAATTATTTCATAAATGAAAGGCAAAACTAAGTTGCCTGTTTATAAGCCCAGGCTGGTATATCAGGCTTTAAGAAAGCATAGGCTACTGTAACTTACAAATACTTAAAGGTGCACAGCTCAGTTCACCTCCATTCATTCAACTGGCTGCTGGCTTTAGGTACTGTTCTCACAAAAGAAGCTAACTAGGTTTAGTTTCTTGAGTAAAGTATTTCTCTAAGTATATTAGTATTATTCTATGACAGTGCTAATTTATTTCATCTGGGAATTTGTTACAGGATTTGATAATGAAGTTTCATTAAAAATGACAAATTTACCAATCAATGTAACTACTCTCAACCATAAAATAAGCAGTATTTCTTTAGCCCTTATGACATGCCAAGGGACTATTCTTAGGTATTACTTCATTTAATTCTCATGAAACTTTATGATTTAGGTAAAATTTTATAGCTGAATTAAAAAAGGAAGTTTCGCTATGAAAGCAGGATGTGCCATGAACCTCAGGACTGTGCTCCTGCAAACACCTTGCCCTTGCCCATTTACTGGACCACCCTTAACAGCATGGAGTAACACTGGCTGGTTGTTTTAAGACAATTTCTTAGACACGCTAAAGATTAGAAAAAGGAATCAATGTGCCAAGGAGGACACCTGGGAAACAAGGATCTTGACCATGTGCCCATCTTTCAAGTCACAATGGACTCTTCACTTACAGGGATTTGCTCCGTCGGCCACTATGAGCATGCGGAGAGAGGAGAGGTTGACATCTCTTTGATCTCTGTGGGCCACCAGTGCCCAGTGCATGTCCCTCGACTTCACACATGCCACTTTTGCTACAAAGAAAGGCAGAGGTTATGGCGTGTCACTATCAGGCYATTTGATATTCAAAAAGAGGTAATGGAGAGATATGGGGATGGTGAATCATCTCAGTCACCAAGACCCCCAAAGAGGCGCAGGGGAGACCAACCTTTGTACTGGCAGACCTTCTGGATCCAGGAGAGGGGGTTTACCTTCATCAGCGAGTATGGGATGCTGATCACATGCATCATGTTCATGACGCTCTGAAATCAAGAACAGACACACCCAAGGGGTCAGTGAGGAGGGGTTACCAGAGGCAAAGGCTGCTTCTCTGCAGGAGGTAGCACCTCTACTAAATCAAGGCAGCAGCCAAAGGGACAGACTCAGGAGCTTCACCTGAGGCACTTGAGGCGACAAGCACAAGAGAGCTTTGGTTGGGCATGGTGGGAGCCAGCTGAAGCAAGGTTCGACACTACCGGGCATGTGCTCTTTGGGAAGGTGACTTCCCAAAGCTTAGCTCAGTCTCCCCACTACTGCTCTTCTTAAATTACTCCTGAAAGTCAAAGAATTTAASGGCAAACCCTTAAGAAAATATTTTGCTAAAATAACACAAAAACACATTTCTCCAAAGATGATACATCAATGGCTGATAAAGTTACACATATTCTGCCACTWTTGCTGGCAATGTATGTTGGTAGGGCCACTGTGGAAAATGGTGTGAAAATTTCTCCAGGAGGTAAAGACAGAACTAGCACGTTGCACAGCATATACCATGACTGGGTACACGTCCAAAGGAAATGAAGTCAGCGTGTTGCCGAGATGCCTGCCCTTATGTGTGCATGGCAATGCTACTTGTAATAGCCAGGATACAGAGCTGACCTAGGTGTCCATCAACTTATGAACAGATGAAGAAAATGTGGTGCATGTTTGTAAAGGAAAATTATTCATCTCTAAGAATAAAATCCTGTCATTTGATGGCAACATGGATGTAATTATGTTAAGTGAAATAAGTTAGGCACAAGAAATTCTGCATGTTCTCAATCATGTGTGGAAGCCAATATCCTATCTCAAAGCAGAGACCAGAACAGCAATTTCCAGAGGCTGGGGAAGATATAGGGGAAGGAGGGGGATAGAGGTGATTACTACGTACAGGGTGCAGCTGGCTTGGAGGAGTAACTTCTCACATTCTATAGCACAGGAGGATAACCAGCAACAACCRAATACTTGAAAATAACATACAGAGAAGTTTAATGTTGCCCATAGAAAGAAATGACATACGTCTGAGTGACAGATATGCCAATTACCCTGAGATGACCTTTACACATGGAATTACATGTACTGAAGGGCCCACATACTCACAGGGACCGCACACACAAGGCCAGTCCTTTCTGGCTGACTGGCGTGTTGGGGGCAGAGGACCTGGTCAGAAAACTGCCTGGCTGTGGACGCGCTGACTGCCAACTACCGCAGGCAGGAATCCGGGACAGCAATAGCAAGCAGGGACACACAATCAACCAGGGAGCCACTTGAGCAGAGGAGGTGACACTATTACAGAGAGATGGAAAGCAGGACCATCCAGGGAAACCATAACCAGAAACGTGTGACCCATTGCCTCAGCAGCATCCTCTAAGCTTCACCCACATCCATGGGCTGTTGTACTGACTCCTTCAGCAAACTTTTGTTGCCCAGGGGCACGTGACACTTGCCCAAGTCACAGCTACAGAAGGGAGGGCTGTGCCCCCAGCCAGGATCTGATGCTGAAGCCCATGCTCTTCCCTCTACACAAACCGCACCCAGTGTGGCAGCATTCACAACTGTGTTTCTGCATCTCAGCACCTAAGGATATGCAGATGCTAGAAATGAACTGTTCTACAGCAGAGGCCAGGGGGCTGGCCTGGAGTTGCAAACAGTTGGCCTATGAAGTACCTACATGTTCTTTATCAATTCTGGCTTATGAAGAAATAACAAACTTTTTTTCTGTATTCAAATGTCCATTGCTCATGTAAAAATGACTAGATTTTCTACTTTAGGAAAGATGGGATCTTTCAGTGTAAGAAACTCTTAAGAAAAACAAGTGAAAGTTACCAGAGGAAATAGACATGGAAAGATTCTAAGCAGGGACATACCATATATTTTAAGTGCCAAGAACACTTTATATAAAGCTACTTCTCTTATCAGAGGTGCCCTCACTAGTGCTKCCATCAGTCACCAAGTGGCACTAACAATGAAACAAACATCCTTGCAACTTGTGCTGTGTTTTCCTCTTCAAGGGGAGGTTGTGAAAGCCGTCCCCCTGTAGAATAATGGATCAGCAGATCCCTAAACATCCATAAACACCAACTAGAGAAAGAACACACACGGAGAACATGCTGGGTGGATAAAGTGCGTGGAAAAGCCACCTAAACATGAATAGGACATTGATAACATTACTGTGGAACCTCAAAAGCCCCAAGTAAGGGAAAAGAGATGGTGAACTCCAGATGGGCCCTCAAAGGCCACCCTGGAGTGGTAACCTCAAGGTGGGTCCAGGACTCAAGCATGTAGCTGCCAAGCCCGGCCGGATTTCTTGTGCTGTTGTGAGCAACCTCAGGGGAGAAAAAGACTCCTAATGATGATAATTTTCTTCTTCATAGTGGGGAAAGAAAGGACCCTTCGAACTCTGCCCATAACAAACCAGCCTGAGCTCTGACATGGGGCACACCGACAAGACAGGCAGCGAGGACAGGGGGGTTTCCACTTACCGTCAGGATGCCGTGCCAGAGCCCCACGTCCTTCTTAAAATCTAGCACGTTCACAATGGTTTCAGCTGTACAAAAAAAAGAAGTCACAAGGGTTATGACAGAGCTAACCAACAGAGCTGCTAAGAAAACCCAATATCAACTTAGGGGGAGATAAAGGACCTTACAAGACTCAGTTTAGTACAGCTCTGAAGAAATTCTGCACCTCTCATCCAGACCACGGAGAACACTAGCTGGGCCTGGAGTGTTTCCAGGGCAATATTCTGATACACAAGTGAGCAGCAATCCACACCGTCACTGGATGACTCTCCACTTATGCATTTCTGCCCTCCCTRTTTTCTTTTTGAAAGATTTCTTCCCCCTTCCCTCATGTGCGCTTCCCCAGGAAGACAAGCATGCCCCTGGTCACGTGCTCTGTTTTGGAAGAGAGAGTTTTGGGCAATGGACAGGCCTACTCTGCTCTACCAGAGTCTTCCCAGGTCGGGGTGGGATGGTGAAGGAGGCGAGATCAGCAAAGACAGGGATGGAGAAGGAGTCAAGGATTATTGGTGGGGGGTGCTTAAAAAAAAGCAGAAAAAACAGTGCTAAGAACACACAGGGGCAAACAGTTACCACCATGGAATCCAGCTGCAAAGCTACAGCCAGCCATGCATGACTTGGAGCTTTTTTTCTTTTCCTTTTTTTTTTTTTTCCTACTCCCTTTCCTTTTCTCCTCCAAATCACACTCATCAACCCAGGTGAACAAGAGCTGCCTGCACATGTCCTGGGCCACCTCTCACTGCCCTGGGTGTTCAACAACACCTCTATTACTCCTCCTTGTACGCTCACCAAGTGTGCAGGGTCACCTCTCCCRCTTCCCTTTCAGAGGCTGAAATAAGAAGACCAGGCAGAGGGGCTTCCAAAATAAACATGCTCAAAGGGACATCCTAGATTCCTTTTCATAAGAAAACTTCTGTAGAGAAATGTATACATATTATGATATTACACATAAATACTCCATATTTATTATATACTATGGAAATATTACATATATCCCTGGCTCCCCAACTGCCCAAGGGTGAAGCCCTGGACCTTGAAGACATCAGGCCCAGGGCACAGCTCATGAGATGGTGAAGTGGGCAGTGGCAACCAGTCCTGCAGACCAAACAAGCAGGACCTCCCCATGAGACAAATGAATCATTTTAAAAAGAGTAATTATCAGAAGGAAGTGGAGACAAAGCCAATGGTAGAAAAAAGAGTAGCATTTTAGTCTAATGAAAGAGGTTCCACAAGGGCATCTTCAGTGTCAGCGTGTGGACATCCGTGGAAGCCACACCCTGTACRGGAACCCAGGCGGTAAGCCAGATGGCTTGAGGGACCTGCTTGAATGCTTCCTTCTGTGTCCCGCCTGGAGTTGTTACCAAGGTTGCTCCTACTCACTGCGGCCTCTCATGATGATGCCACTCAGAGCAAGGAAAATACACTACAGACCAACCACTCCCACTGCTGAAGTCCACGCCCGAGGAGCTCAAAAACCACCCTTAGAGGTGCTTGTGCCAAAACACGGGCACTTAAAACAAAACACACCCCACTTCTAAGAATACACAAGCAGCCAGAGATGGAATCCATGGTGTTAACTGTTATGGGCTGCAGCACGTCCCCCAAATCCACAGGGGAAAGCCCACCTATGTGACTATGTTTGGAGCTAAAGTCTGTAATCAATGCTAAGTGAGGTCACAGGTGGGCTCCGATTGACAGTCTCATAGGAAAAGCATGAGAATCCCTCTTCAGAGATGCACACAGAGAAAAGGCCATGTGGAGACACGTGGAGAGGGTTTCAAGTACAAACCTGGGAGATGCCCCTCTAGGAATCAACCCTGCCAGCAATGACCTTGGACTTTCAGCCTCAGAGCCACTCTTTCTACTGTGTAAGCAGGACATGCACAGCCCTTTGTTATGGCAGTGAAGCTAACCCACTAACAATTCATTAAGTCAGGCCAGGCATAAGCAACGCTACTCTCTTAGTAGGAGCAACATGGGCTGGCTCCTCTCAGACATCCCTGGTCAATAGGGCATCCCACAGAAGAGCCAAGGACCCGGAGCCTCATCCACACCTTCTGTGTAGCCGCATGCCTGTGTGAGCGCCTGGCAGTGTGTCAGCAGAGCGATCCTCGTCACCGTCACGCCCAGCACACTTCCATCCTTACACGTCTTGTACTGAAATGAGACAGAAAATGCATGGACACGAGGTGCCAAGAGGCAAAGTCCTGATCTGCATGCATCAGCTTCCCCAGGTGTCAGGGGTRTAGGGTGTCTGCTGCTGGTGCTGGAAGTGCACATCTGTTCCCAAAGCACAAACCCAGGCCCGCCAGGGGACAGTGTTCCACTTACCTCAATGTAAGCGGTGTCGTTATTTGCGTCTTTAATATGTGGGAACCAATCTCGAGGAGGTTTAGAGAGGTGTTTTGACTCTGTGACAAACCACAGCAGCTTTGGCCAACCTTGCAAATAAATGACAAATTCTTTTTAAGTAAGAAGTACCCAGAAATAGGTCTGGAGACTCTCTCTCCACTCATGTGGCATACTTTCAAACACCACTCCAGGTTAGATGGAATCTCTGACATTTTGGTATGTCATCAAATCTCAGACATCAACAAAAGAGAACCCAGGCCACCGCCAGTCAGATGGCATCATCCTCAGGCCGATGAGCTCTTGTGTGCCTGGATCCCGTGGGGCTTTTTTCCTCAAGTGAAGAGCCCATCGCAACATGAAGGACTCAGGGAAAGAAGGGACTCTCAAAGCCTCCTCAGCATACCTTTAAACTGGGGGATCTCTCCCGTAGGGCTTTTTGGCAGTCCTTTGTGACAGGCATCACTCGTCAAGGCTACAGTAACTCCACAGCTTCCAAGCAAGAAGCCTATCTGCTGGCTGCCTGCATCCTGAGAGGGTGACAGAGAGAGAAAAGAATCTAAAACACAGCTCTAGTCCCAGTAAAAGCACAGCCTGACCCTACATTTAGGGGAAGGTGAACTGACTTCCCCAAGTTGCTTCTTCCTTCCTGAACAATTAGCTAGTAATTTAGATGTGCTTGGGAGTCCAGAGAAGTGGGTCCAATCCCAGCCCCGACACTTGCAAAGCAAATTAGCTTAGTTGGACTGTTTTCTCATCTGTAAAATGGGGATACACAAGCAAACTCATATAGGTTTGCCTCTGGGGGCAAATGAGAGGAAATGTGCAGTGCTCAGTACATGGGTGGGCCCTGGTAGGTCTCTTTGAGAGACTGTCACAATTGGCCCCTCTAATTTCTAAGACTGATTGGCAACACTTGATCATTATGGAAGAGAGAAAAGGGCCCTGTTTATTACACTAATGCCAAGTACCTAATTTTTAAATACTTAAAAACAGGAGATGCAGATGATACATCTGGTGGGGGTACACTTGTCAGAGTCACCTTCAGCAGAAGAATGAAGAGCTGGGTCACCTTTCCCACCCCRAGAAGTAACCAACAAACTAAAATGGCACAGTGCCAGGGCTTCAACTCTGCCGACAGGAAGGCCCAGGAAGCCGCTGTGTTGCCAGCACTGACTCTGGAATGTCACATCTGAGCACACACTGCAGATGGGGCCCTCCCAAGCTCCAGCCGCCGCAGGAACAGCCACCCTGTGTGAGTTTTATTGCCCATTACTTCCAGCTGCCCCACAGAAAGATATATGTGCAGCCGAGTCACTTCAATTCAATTTTCTTACTCCCACCAGTCACACTGGCTGTTGCTTTGCAATTGTTTGATTCAGAAAATAAAACCCAAGCTCCAAAGTAGCCAGCATTTCCCAGCAATAAAAATGTCCTAGTGCAGTGAATGAATCATGGCTGCATCGCCCAGATGGCTCCGTGTGGGCCCCCAGCAGGAGCCCAAGCACAGCCTGCTGGCCATGGGTGCAGCAGAGGGCCTGGCTCCAATTGCACCCATGCCCCCCCCACCAACAAGAAACCCGGGGACAAAGCGCAGTGTTTTCACCTGGGTAAATAAAGCAGCATTACAATTTCAAAGCTGTAGTTTGTCAGAAGTTTAATCAATACTATTTTTTTTAAAATTTTTTTTTCTTTAATTATAGATGGACATAATATCTTTATTTTTATGTGGTACTGAGAATTGAACCCAGTGCCTCATGAATGCGAGACAAGTGCTCTACCACTGAGCCGCAACCCCAGCCCTGATCAATACTATTCTTATTGTCGATTTAAATCTGCAGCGAGCACACGTCTCTTTAGGGTATCTTCAAGGAGCAAAGACCAACAAACACAATGTGTGCACTCTAAACCCTGGAAGGGAAGGGAGTTCTGGGCCTTGGTAGAGGGGAACAGTCCCCATCTTGGGGACATTCCCAGGGCACCTTCCCTTTGGCAATGCTTTTTCAAGGGGACCCATAATCGGGCATGGCAATGTGAAGGGGAGTGGCTGGGTCAGTCATCCACAGTGGCATGCAGTGACCAATTAGACACTGGCTGGCGGGTGGCCGTAACACTCAGGCCTCCTGGCCAAGAGTCCTGCCTCCCTGGCACTCTGTCCTCCTAATATCCACACATGATTTAATCCCATAAGTGATAAAGCCATGTACAAAAAGGGACCTAAGACTAAGTGAGGGACCCCAGATGGGACGGGAGGAGGCTGCTGCAGTCAGTGTGGAGTACAAACCTCACGCCTGCTCCTCTTCAAACTCCTTCCAGAAAGCCCTCTCCGGGCCCATCAGACAGGCCTTCAGAAGACCTCTGCACCCAGCTCCCAGCACTCCTCTCAGGTAGCACTTACCAGGCCTGTCCCCACCCCAGATATACACCTGGAGCCAGCCCCTCTACACACACCACAGCATGTGCCAGGGGACCCTGAGCACACTGGCATCAGAAAAAGGGCCTGGCTATCTCAGCACAGACCCTGAGGACAAGCCACCCAGCTGCCCTCCAGCCAGCAGCCACAGATTCCCACAATGCATCAGGTCCCCATGCTGTCTCTGGAAGGGTGCTACCCGCCCTCCTGACAGATCCAAGGCTACCCAGGGAAACAGCGAGACATCCTAGGAATAATGTGAATGAAACGAATMCCCCTAGGGATGCGCACCAGGGCTCCGACATCACATCCCACATATTTCTCCCCAGCACACCTGTTTTCCACAGGCAGTTTCTTTCTGGCATACAGGCTGATGCACTGCCACACTCGGAGGGGAGGAGGGTGGGCGCTGGTGCTACCACTATCTCCCTAATGTTGCCAGCAGAGGCAGGTGATCAGCCTCTTCCACAAAATCTCCTTGATGACTTGTTTTCTCTGCTGAAGAAAAGCTACAAACCCAAGTTCACTATTCTTGTTTTCAGTGCTTTGCCAAATGTAAAGGGTTGACTGATGCTACTTTCTAGAAAGTTCTTCCTTGCACATGATTGGCCTGGCAACAATTCCTTAAGCAATCACATTAGGCTGGTTTGGATACGTCACTGGATCAATCACCCACAAAAGGGTTCTCTGACCAACACARGCAACACAAGCTCATGAAGTCACCCCACATGAATTCATTTTGGATGTGTAGCACTCAAACTGGTAGTGTTCATCTAGTCTTCTCCTTTGCCTACTCAAATTGCCAACTTCACAGTTTGTCAGCTCTGAGGAGACGGCATAAGATAATGGTAAGATCAATGGAGAAATGAACCTTAAGTGATTTTACAGGGTCAATACAAAACACTAARATTTATGATTATGGTAATATAACCAAGTGGAATAAATAAACCGGTAAGAGAAGTTTTCTTACAATACTATGATACACTCATCAATTAATTTTTTTGAGGGAGATGCTAGGGGTTGAACCCAGGGTCACTTTACCATGGAGATATATCCTGGAATTTTTTCGAGACAGGGTCTTGCCAAGTTGCCTAGGCTGGCCTTGAACTTGCAATTCCGCTTCAGCCTTCTGAGACACTGGGATCATGGGTGCCACCTCACTTGGTGATTAATGTATTTTGGCCACTCATTTAAAACTGCACTTATGATGGAAATTTAGAACAGACGAAATTCCATGTGCTCAGAATCAACAGTTACCAAAGTTTGGCTAATCTGGTTTCACCAATTATCCCCAGTAAACACACATGCACCCATAAACATATGGTTGCACAAATCTCCACACACACAAGTAGACACATGCAGATGAGTACACTCATCCATTTATATTTGCACTCACATCTGTGCCTACACAAAAGACAAACATGCACACACTCATAGGCCAAATATATACTTGCTGGCTCACATGAACATCCATCCACACCCCCCCCCCAGGAGTATGAACATAAGCCCCACATGCCAGCAGTCCTGCTCACCACACTTAGCTGGGGAGGGGGTGTCTCCCTGGAGCACTCTCCCTACCCAGAGGAGGCCTTTACCCCATTCCCACAGTTTCTCAGCCCTAGTCCCTTGCCCCCAACATCCTAGAGCTCTCTACCCATTTCCTCTATCAAAACACCATCTTGACCGCTCACAAAAAATTGTCAACACACACAAGATGTGGCCTCCTGTCAGTGGATCCACTTTGACATGACATTTAGAAACTTTAACCACCGCAAGTGATAAGCAATGCGCAGGAGCACAGGGAGCAACACCTGCAGGTGCCGGACAGGGACAGACACTCTCTGCAGACAGAACAGCTCAGTAGGAGTGACCGATTCCCTGTGCTAGTCAGACCCTGGCAATCCCCACCACTCTGGCCCAGAAGACCTTTCCTGTCCTGTTGTCCTTAGTATGTGCACAGTTCAATCCCTCCATCTATGTTAGTCTGGTCCTAAGATCAAGGCCACGAAGTGGGGCCTGTCACTCTGCATCCCAGGAAATGAGTGAGCTACAGGGCAGGTGGCACTTCCCTGGCTTCCCATCCAGTGAGAGATCCCAGCACCTGCTGTACCCCTACCCCCACTGCCCTCTGACCACAGAGTGCCTTCTCAGATGTCCCACGGCCCCAGGCCAATCCCACCCCATGCACAGTAAGACCAATGACCTCTCCTTCGGTGCACAGGGCTGTCTCAGTTAAGTGGACTGGGAGGTCTCCCTGTGACAGAAGAAAGCTGTYCCCTTCTCTCACTTATCACTGCTCCATAGCCACACACCTGGACATTGGTATCCCCTTAGAAAGGTTGTATGCATTTCTACCAAATTGGACTCAAAAGATACTTCGTATTTCCTAGTATTTTTAAAATGTGCTATAGGAAAAAGTTCATGGCCGCCCCCTGGGATTCTGTGCACTACTGCTGCAGAGAACTTTTGAATTGTGCCCTGTTTCCAGATCACAGTGCGACACCCCTGCCCATCGAGGGGCAGCACACTTACTCCTCAGGAAGTCGTCTATCCCCTGTCCTCAGAGGTTTGGCCCCTGAGAACCCACCCTGGTCTAGAAAACACCAAGCTACACATTTAAAAAGACAAATCTAATGAATGACAGTGGTTAACTGTTGGGCATCTAGTTACTGAGCCTCAGACCCAGTCCCATTAGCCCACGAGTTCCTCCACATTATACTCTAGTATTGCTTAGAAACGCCAAGAATTTTGAGCCTTGAGCACTAACCCTGCGCAGGCTCCTTGACTTCCAGAGAGCCTCTGCTCACTGGAATACACACCAACTGAACCCCAGCATCTTGGATTCCAGGATTACGGTAGTGATGGGGCTGCAAGAGTCACTAGGAGCCCATGGTCATCCCGCTCAGTAAATCCCCAATTCTAACTCTTCTGCTCACAGGCTGTGAACATYCTCGGACTGGGAAGATGAGGAAGCACTTGTGGAGTGTCTAGTGCACATCTGGGGTCCTGGTGTTAATCATGCAGGAACAAGGCTCTCCTTAAGGTGGCAATGGCAACCTCGACAYCCCTGCTGGAGGGGGCACTGAGGTCAGGGTAGTGGGTCCTCCCCTGCAGCCCTGCCTCACAACGGCATATACTTGGTGAACTCTTAGCCTTGTAATAGGAAATTAAAATGGCAATCTCCTCCCTGTCCATTTTCATGAGGAGCCCCATGCTCTCCCCCTTCCCATTCAAGGAGCAGTGTGACACACGACCACAGAACCTGCACAGGACCTGGAGAGTTACCCATGATGTGTTCCAAGAACAGCAGAATGTTTTCTTATATCCTAAATCAACAAATTTCAAAGTTAGAGGAGTCACAAAGACAGGCAGGGGTTTCTTTGGAAACAGCCTGGGCTACAAGTGCTCTGCCTTTGGGATCTGAAAGCATCACCCCAGTTTGTTCATGACAGATGCGTAAATGAAGCCTAAGTAACTGAGGGCAGCCTCCAAGGGCACGTCCTCCCACTTTGGGAATCCTCCCTTCACTCCTTTTGTAGTTGCTGCAGCCCTGCTCTGCTGAACAACACACTACCACACCACCCTACAGACTGAGAGACTAAGATTGGCCAGTAGTATACGAATAGTAGTTCACACTGGACAAAGCACTGAAGATACCAAATAAGCCTGTTTTAATTATAGAACAAGATCCTATAAATCACAGGTAAACCTGAGGCTTGATCATGTCAAGAAGTCTGAACAAAACCCTCTGCCATCCACAACAAAATGGAATTAAGAAGCTATAATTTACCTGGCTCCCTGGTGCACAGGACACCTAGCCACCTGCCAAGTGTGCATGATACTGAGGAATGGCACTCCCTTTCTGTGGACTGACATTCCTCAGGTCAGCTGATCACTCTGGGAAGCAGCATGCCCTGTTAGCCGAGTGTGGGAGACCATAACTGCTCCCTCTCAGAGATAACTGATGAAGACCTGTTCAGAGCCTCAGGAAACAGAACATGTCAGTGCATCTTGATCCACACCCAGTGGAGCTGAAAGGCCATCTTAGAAACTATGGCCTACATGTTCTCACCCAACAGAACACCTGACTGTAACAGAGCCTGTCATTTCCYCGAGTGCACTGTGATCAATGATGAGTTCCTTACCTTTCTCGTGAGTGGCACTTCGATGGGCACAGGAACAACTTCTGCCAACAGGCAGCCATAGAAGGCCACCATGAATGCAGCTGGGTCATTGTTTGGGAACACCAGTGCCACCTATGGGGATGGGTCAGGAAGGAATTGCAACATTAGCGGAGTCTCTTGCTTTCTAAGACACAACCACAGGATTTACCCCGCCCAGGCAGCAGGATTTAAATCCTAAATAAGACTGTCTGCTGGAATAAAAACTAAGTGCTGTATATAAAGAAGCATCTTAGTGAAGCCATGTAACATGTTAAAAAAAAACCTGTTTAAGTGAAGGACAAGCATCAGCAATGGTCATCTATAATATAATCACCAGGAATTTGCTCGTTTTCTATATCCACATAATTCTTCACACAGAAGGAACGACACTGTCACACTATTTTACTATTTCCACTGAGCTTTTTAAGTAGTTCCTTGAATTTTGATGCAACCCTCCCTATTGTAACTCAATGGTTGTATTACTCTTTAGTAAGCTGCTGAGCAGACACTCTGGGAGCCAAGCCCAGAGAAGACTCAATTCAGATCCCATATTGCATTAGCTCAGGAAACTTATGCATAATTTTGGCCCAGGTTTTAGTTCTTATCTGAAAAATGAAAACTACAAAAAATGTGTCCTCACGTCATAGTAAAAGTCAAATGAGCAAAAACTACATGGAGCGATTACTGTGACACCTGGCATACCCTGTGCACGCTAATGTCCCTTATCTTTTTATCAGTGTTTCAATATGTTCCCTAAAATTTGAATGAATAGACAGTAGTAACTTTTTCTCTTCCATTTTTTTTTTTACTGGTGCATTATACTTGTACATACTGATGTGATTTCTTGTTACATATTCATACATGCACACAATATAACCRTAGAATGTGTCCAATATCACTCCCCAGCATGTCTTCACTCTCCCCCTACCACCCACCCCTCGGTCCTTTTCCTCTACTGATCTCCCTTTGATGGATCCCGATTACAATAAGTTATACTCCACATATATATAATATGCTAAAACACATTCTACTGTCCTGTGTATCTAAAAAAGGAAGAAAAAAATAAATGCAGAGGATGTGGAGAAAAAGAAACACTTTTACACTGTTGGAGGGACTAATAAATTAGTACAACCACTATGGAAATCAGTGTGTAGATTCCTCAWGATCAGGTATGGAACCACCACATGACCCAGGTATCCCACTTCTTGGTATTTACCCTGAAGAAATAAACTCACTACGGTGATATATGCATACCTCTGTTTATAGTAACACAATTCACACCAAACAATGAAATCAGTAGGGGATCATCAATGAATGAATGAATAGAGAAAATGTGGTATATATGTACACAATGGAGTTTTATTCAGCCATGAAAAATGAAATATGGAATTTGTAGTAAAATGGATGGAAGCAGAGACCATCCTTAAGCAAAGTTAAGTCAACCTCAGAGGTTAAGGGTCCTATGCATTCTCTGGTATACTGAAGCTAGAGAGGAAAAAGGGTAGTTAATACATTTATATTTGATGCAAAGACTTATTTTTATTGATGCAGACATTTAATGCTTTGTTCGAACTTTTCCTTTATATGATCATCTTTTATTCAATAAATATTTCCTCCAATTTTGACAACTCTTAAGTTAACCTAGGCTTCATTTTAGTACAGCATTCTGAAAGATGCATCCTTAGGTATTATTGTGATAGTGAAAGAGCATAGAATGTACTTGCAAATTCACTAGTCAATAACACGGGACCACCACTGCATAAGCAGACTGCCATGGATCCAAACACTGTTACCTGGCACATGCCTTATTTACAGTTCAGCTAATTCAAGTAAGCCTCAACTTGCTCTCTTATTACCCCAATAATATATTTTAAGTAATCCTTCCTATTTTAGAAAACTTAGATTTTAGAAAACTTCCTATCTATGATAGGTTTCTGAAYAATCCTATTTCCAAACCCACTAGATTCTGAAATACTCTGCTTCTATTTAAACGTGCTTCCCACCTGCTGCTGTAGCATTAGCATTACTTTTCTTTATGGACAGTCAAGTTGGGCACATGTGTTAACATAAGTACATGAATCCTGTGGTTGGACATACATGCATCAGTTTTGCAATATCTCATTCTGAAATTCCAAAGTTCTCCTTAAAGCACCTTATTAATTTTAGTATTAACAGTTAGACATGACACGCTAATCTCAATATCTAAGGAAGCAGGATGGCATAAATGGACTGATGGCAGATGAGAAGGGAGCAGGCTGGGCCTTCAAGGTGGACACGCTAGCAAGTTGGAATACAGAATCGTTGGTAGAAGCAAAAGTTTAGGATTATATGATGATTCTGTATGGCCTTCTTACAGTTTAGTAAAGTCAGCTAGACAAGAAAGTCAGAAAAGGAATGGAAGAATTTATTTGTATGTTTTCGCACATGAAGCACAAGCAACAATTTTTATAACCAGTGTGAGGTTGCATTAGCCACAAGGGCTCTCCTTCATTTGATGAGCTGAGTGTTGACAGCGTGTTTTCCAGATCATAGTCTGACAAGGATGCAACATGTAATCAGAAGTCTGCAGGATTTCCAGGTCGCTGCTGCTGCACAACTTGTTCCTGTGAAGCAGACCTAATGGCTAGAGGAAGCCAACCACACCGTGGCATAGCCTGGCCTGGCAAGTTCCACCCAGGACAGCTCATTTGCAAAGAACTAGTTAAATACGGGCTGGTTATTCTTCCCAGAATATCACCTCTGAAGGTGAAAGTCTTCAAGGGCAGATAAGGGGGGAAAAAAAACCCCACAGAGGTAAGCAACATTCCCAGAGCCAGAGTGTGGATCACTCCTTTCCAAGGAGAACTCCAGGAACGGCTCTGGTCCCAGTCACCAGCGCATGGGCTCAGATAAGACCCACTGCATCAAGGATTTCAACTTGCCACTGGGTCATTGCTGAAGTTCATGCTGATAGTGCTGCACTGCAGAATTTTGCAGAACTGTACTCAAATGTGATGAAAGGTTGTAAAGCAAATAAAAGTAAAATATAAAGTTGTACATTATTGCATGGTCTCAAAGAAAATGAGTACAGAAAGATCAAATAATACCTGAAAGGCTCTTTTTTTAAAAAAGCAATTTGTCTTGAGGAGTAGAGCTTCATGTGCAAAGATATACAAATAAATTCTTCCATTCCTTTTCTGACTTTCTCATCTAGMTGACTTTACTTTTCAGAATAATATTGCAAAACTCATGTATGTATGTTGAAAAGTTTCCATTAAGTTTTCTTTTAGTACATCAATCAGTCACAAGTCAAGTTGTACCGGTAACTCCATAGCCATCCCAGTGTAAGACTGCACAAGTAGATGCATAATTTTATCAACAGCTCACTTTGTTAATTCTCAGTGCATTCCTCTGATGTGTGTCTACAGGCAATCGTCCATGGCACAACAGGCAGCAAGCCATCAGGAGCCAAGAGCTCACACTACTGGCTGTGCCAAGGCCTTTCATGGTGCACCCCCACAATACTGTCTGAATGCAAGGTGTTCTTCACCTGCACACCAGACCTTCCCTCCTGGCTCCTCCTTATGCTGTTTACAGTACCTCAACAAAGGTAAAGGCTTACTTTATCTCCCAGAGAAGTATTTTCAGATTCCATTCATTTCCCTAAGTAAAAACAATCTCTCTTCCTCAAAGAATTTGGCTCTTACTATCTTTCTGGGGAACCCTCATTGCTTTTTTTTTTTTTATTTTGGAGGGGGGGAGGCAGGGTCTCACCATGCTGCTCAGGCTGGCCTTGAACTTATAATCCTCCCATGTGAGCCTCCAGAGTAGCTAGGAATATAAGTGCAAGCCACAGTGCCTGGCTACTTTCCCATGACGTAAAAGCTAATTATCAATGTGTAACTATGGCATAAGAGTGCAAGCTTCTTGATGTCAGACCTTACCTGTGATGCATCTTTAGATTTTCAGCATTTCTCACATTATCCTCAAACATTTAGTTTGCACATTATAAATGCCTTTTACTGAAGTCCAAGAAGGTATTCTCCACACTGCATTAGAATAGTCATCCACAGGAAAAGTGGGTAATTTTTATAGTAAAGACTGAATGCTCTTTACTCTGCAGTATTTTATTGAAAACTGATTTTTGAAGCAGATAAACTATCCTATTGATTAGAACAGAAAGTTATCATCAATTATCTAACATATACACTTAATAGWAAGTATTACACACAGATGAATATTCAGACACTGGTTACATGTACCAGTGGTTGAACTCAGGGGCACTTAGTCACTGAGCCTCGTGTCCAGCCCTTTTTAATCATTTTTTAGAGACAGGGTCTCACTGAGTTGCTTAGTGCTTAAGTTGCTGAGATTGACTTTGAACTTGCAATCCTCCTGCTTCAGCCTCCTGAGCCACTGAGATTAAAGACATGCACCACTGTGCCCAGCTGGACAGTCTAAGTAGCTCCCTCAAGCTAATCCAACTTGGCTACCCCTGAAAAAAGAAATTGTTTACACATTTCATCAAAACTGCACCCATTTTACCCACAACATCTCACCTGAACACAGGTACTTATTAATATATGCTTTTCATATAGAAACTTCAAGAATCTGGAGGCCAGACTACAAAAGATTCTCTTAAAAAAATGACTCAGACCATGAACCAAATTAGAGATAAAGGAGCCATCACAAGTGACTTTTCTTCATTGTGAAAAAACATACACAATAGAAAATTTCACTTCAGCCACACTCATAGTTCAGTGGCACCGAGTACAATCTCACCATCAAAGGACCCTCAATGTGTTCCAAGCTGAACCTCTCCCCTGGTTGAACAGTAACTTCCTTCATTCTCCTCTGGCCCTGGGCAATCACCATAGTGCATTCTGACTCTATCCACATATCAAGCTCATATCAGTGAAATTCCCAGTATTTGTCCTTTGGTGTCCAGCTTGTTTTACTTAGTATCCTTTCACACAGCACGTGGAAAGGAACTTTCTTCCTTTTAAAACTTAATAAGTAACATTCCATGGAACGCACCTGCCACATCGTGCTTGGCCATTCCTCAGTCTACAGCAGATGTGCTGCCCTGCCTCTTGGGCTTTATGATAATGCTATGAACATAGGTATACAAATACCTGTTGAACTTTTCATCATATACACAGAGGTGAAATTGCCAGGTCAAATGGCAATTTGATGTAACTTTTTGAGAGACTGTAGGTGGATCGTCTGTCACAGGGGCTTCCCCATCCTACATTCCTCCTAGCAATGTGTCAGGGTCCTAATTTCTCCATGTCCTTGTGAACATTTATCTTCTGTATTTTGATAAGACTCACTTTCTTGATACAAAGTGATGTTTCACTGTGGTTTTGATTTGCAATTCCCTGTGATTAGTGATGTTGRGCATCTTTTCATGTGTTTGTAAATAGACCATTTTAAAGTCTTTAGARAAATGCCCATTCAAGTCCTTTATTTATGTTTCAATTGTGATAGTTTTTTTCTTTTACTGTCATTGAGTTATAGGGATTCTTTATATTCCAAATATGAATCTGCTATTAAACACGATTTACATTTTCTTCCTTTTGTAAATTGCCTTTTAATTCCTTCGAGTGCCTTTTTGTGTATGTTTTTATTTTGATGAAGACCAGTTTTTTCTTTTGTTGACCTGCTTTTGATGTCAGAGCCAAGAAATCATTGCCAACATCATGAACCTCCCCCCAACCCCAAGATTTGTGTATTTTAGCTCTGATTTTAGGAGGAGTTTGGTCTACTTTCAGGATTATCTTTTCCTCTTTGACATAGTGTTAGTAAGGGTCCAATTCCATTCTCTTGAAGGTGGATATCTGGTTTTCCCAGTCCTGTTTGTTGGTAGGACTGTCCCTTTCCCACCAAGTATGCTAGCAYGCTGTTGAAATCTCTGGACCACATACATGAGGGTTGATTTTCAGTTTCTCTGTTCCATTCCTTCGGTGCATATGTCTGTCAGTATGCCAGTGAACACTGCTGAAATTATTCCAGCCTTGTAAATTTTATAATGGAGAAGTTTAACATCTAAAATTTATTTTTAAAAGCTAGGGGCTAAACTTGTTCCATAAAAACAATAGGAAGAACCACAGTCCACAGTAGTCTGCTTCAACCATCGTTCAAAAACCCCATGAGGGCCAGGTCTACATCTCCTACTGGGTTTGGTGCTCTAGATGATGATTTACATATTGTTCTTTTGGTGACCTTTGGGTAAGGTACGCATCTAGGCACTGAAGGCACATGGCAGCATATGGAAAAAAGGCTGTATATTTGAGGACAAGGAAACTAGGTTTTTCTACATCCAAATTGAGATGTAAGGCTTAGGTAAGATTATCAACTGCTCAGGCTCAACATTAAAATGGAAATACTAAAACCCATCCTCAATTTACCTGGCTGATGTAAGAATAAAATAAAAATTTGCTCTCTGATGGAAGGGCAACAGCCTATTTTAAGAAATTTAAAACTGGGAAAAGAACCCTAGTGTTGGTTTACTTCCAAGACTGCCTGTCACACTCACAGTAAAACATATCTTTTTAAGGTAAGAGCACTGGCTCTGCCGCTTAGGAGCTAGATGCCTTCATGATTCACCCTAAGYCCAATGTTCTTGATGCATAAAAATAAGAGAAAATCTACGACCTCGCTGAGTTGTGAAGATTAGTGGCACGCTGAACATAATTGGTCTGAGTTCACAGGGAATCTGAGAAAGCCTCCCACAACAGGGCCGGGAGCAGAGGCTGCACAACAGGGTTCTAAGACAGAGGTGTCTTTCCCAAGGGGACACTTTGCAGCTGCACTTACCCTATCTCCAGGCCGCACCATGGGCTCTTGCTTTGTACCTAGTTTATGCAGAATGTTGTAAGCGACCTTCATACTTCTCGTCCACAGTTTGCCTATGAACACAAAGCAAGAGAGACACAGTAACTGTACTATCACATACACASACTTTCAGTTATGTACAAATGGGCATGAGGATCCAGGGAGCATCCTCCAAGGAAAGGCTGGTACACGAATCCCTTTGGCTTCCCATCTCCACACACAACAATCAAGGGAGAACGGGTGGGCAAGGCTAGAATCTCAGAGGCTTTGGTACACAAAGCTCAGGGGAAAGGGGAAAAACATCCAAGAACTCGACCTGAGCCCATCTCTGCCATGTTTTTGAAGAGGGAAGTGCTGCTTGGGTGTGCTGTCACCAGGCTTTCCTAGGGAGCACCAGGAGCCTGGGGAAGGGGCAGCTTGCTGGTGCAGCCTAGATGAAGGCTGCCCAATGCYGTTTTCATGTTAAGGCTCCAATGTATTTTCCATTTTGATTCCAGGAATGAGGAGTAAGTTCCCAACATCTCTGACTCATACAATCACTGAAGCCTGAACACTGGGATGTTGTCCCAAGACCAAATTCCTTCATCTGTAACGTGTGTAGCAAGACCACAGAAAAACAGTCAAAGAAGTTGTGAAGAAGGGTTCCAGAGAGTGGAGGGCACCAGGGCCACCGCAATGGCACCACTGCCACTGTCTAAAGTTGTGCATGAGGACATATTCTTCCCTTGGTGCGGGAGGTTAGACTCGAAGCCTTGAGCATGTGAGCACACGCTCGGCCACTGGTGACACTCCCCCAGACATGGATCTTATTAACGGCCTCTGTCATGTGATCATAATCAACATAAAGAGCACAAAAACGGCCCCGTGGGTCAAAATCTGATCCCTTCTCCTACAGAGTCCTAAATTTCTGAATTTCGAATCTTCTTAACCTCAGGGTTTTAGGGTTTGGGGATTTGAAGCAGATGAATCCACAAGTATAGATAAAAGTAACACTAAATAGTTTAAGTTATTTAAAATATTTTGGAAGGGAATACTAAGGATTGAACTCAGGGCTACTCAACCACTGAGCCACATCCCTAGCCCTATTTTGTATTTTATTTAGAGACAGGGTCTCACTGAGTTGCTTAATGCCTCTGCTGAGGCTGGCTTTGAACTTGCGATCCTCCTGCCTCAGCCTCCCAAGCTTACAGGGGTGTGCCACTGCATCTGGCTATTTAAAACTTTAAAATTTAAAACTTTTGAAATCAAGAAAAAAAGAATCACTAAGTAGAATTAAATATATACAATTAAAAAAAAAAAAACCTTTTAGACCGGTTTTTTAAACTTTAAATCCTTTAGGGAAAAAAAAAAAAAAACCAAAAACAGCAAGACATTTCAAATTCCTGCCTCATCTCTCCATGAGACATCTTCTTGATATTATCCTGTGATGGTGAATAGTCCAAGATGAGAAAAAAATGACTTACGATCTAAAAGGAATTGAATACCTAAAGGCCTTTTACAATCTGGCCCCATAGATTCTTCTGCTCAAGGCTTTTCAGGAGCAGTCAGGGTGTTAGATGTTCCGTTCAYGCAATATGGTAATAAGCAAATTACGTGGTTTCAATGCAGTCACTGTTTTAATCCTTCTCCTACTGCAATGTATAAACTAAATCAAAAAGCTTTTTGGTTTACAACACATTTTATATTTTAAAAAATCCCGAACTTGTTTTATTTCATATTTCATGTTGAACTGCAGTGACCCAAATTAATGTTCCTACTATTTTCTGATCACAGGTTTCACCAACTTGCCTCCACCTTAGCAACTAGAGAGCAAAGACCGTTTCCTCTTTTCTTCAATTCATAGGGCAGTTCCTGGATCATGGTATGTACTCAACAAACGTTTCTTGATTTTATTAGTGCCATAAGAACACTTTAATAAAGCTCAAAGAGTACTTATCTTAGTAAAAATCTAGAGATTTTAGTAAAAATTTAGAGCACTTAATTAATGGATATAAAATTTATTCAGGTCCTCCTCATCTCAACACTGTAGTTCGAGACTGGTTGCTTTAAAATCATTTGGTGTTTTATTGGGAAATTTTCTTCTCCCTATCAATACCTCTCAGCCCCTCAGAAGTAACTTACAGAGTACAGTTTTCCCCTAAATACTTYGTGCCGTCAGAATTCAATGTGAACATCACTATAGTTTAACAGAATCTGCTATAAACAAAAAAGGAGTTGTGAATCCACTATAATCAGTAGCACCATTACAGTTCACTCACTTTTCAGCTTCATTCTCGATTGATAAATCTTAAGGTTGATATCATAAATTCATATAAAATCAAGTTTTTAGGAAAGAGTTACTAAAGGGCAAAAAAAAAAAACCCAAAACTTTTGGCAAAATTCTTAAAATATACCTCAATAGTTACACTTTGTGTTTCTCACAGAAAAGGGAGAATAAGTTGCTGATGTAAACTACAGATGCCGCAGCTCTTGGCAAGGAGCTGCACAAGTACTCAAGTGCTCTTTATTACATATTAATTTTAACTTCACTCACWTGTGGAAGAGGAACAGGCAACTGCCCAGAGACTGACTACTGAGGAGGGAGGCGGCACAGTAAGCACACCCCATAGCTACCCGGAGCACAGCGGCCCTAGAACTTGAGACATGCACTATTAACAATTCCAAACACGGACAAGGTTGCAGAAAGACTGCACTGTGCTTTTCTAGCTCAGGCATCTAAATTCCGGGAAACACCTAATAAACTCATAAAACAAGAAAGAGACGAACATGAGCGTTTACTTTGTATATAAGCAAAATTAATTTACAGATATTAAACTAAAACCATCATGGGGATGGAAGGGGATACTAGAATGTTCTCTGCCAGGTCAGACCAACAGGTGAAGAAAGTGTATGGAGGARTACTTTATTTTTTGGATTTTCTATTAAACAACCCAGGTTTCCTATGATAAGCAAGAAGCTAAATTTGGGGGCTGAAGGGACCGCAAGACTTTAAATAGTTCTTCAATTATACCAAACATGATTTTTTCTGAATCTTTTTAGCAATATGCAATCATAACATCTGTCTGTTCCAGAGTTTCTACACAGATAACACTTTTCAATACTCACTGCATTAGTCAACCCTTCCAAGCCTGATAAGTTACAATCTTACATTTGGAAATTCTTTACTTACCTCTATTAAACAAGAAAGAATTGAACTTGACCCACAGTATATGACCAACAGCAGGTTAAAACCCAACAGACTAATTTAAAAGAGTTCAAATGTTTTGGTTATGTGATGCTTGGACAAATTTCAGATGTAACATTAAATCTCTCTCATCTCTCTAATTCATCTTAACCTTACACTCCTAATCTAGATTCTGAGCCTCTGGAGAACTGGTATTCACCTTTGGCCTCCCAAGCCTGAGGACCTTGCCATGCACGGTAGGTGCTGGTGGTCAGTGAGGACACATGATCCTTACAGGACCACATCAGCCCCAGGATTTCCCAGAGGCCATAAGCCTCGGTGTGCTCAGCTGTTATGAAGCAGGGAGTGCAAACACAACTAGCTCAAGACCAAATTTGGCTGGACAAGAGACTCACAGAAAATTCTATGTTTTTGACTAATAAACTTATCTCCAAGAGCATGATTTTTAAAAAAGGATAAGTCAAGATTATACTCAACCATGGGTGATATCTATCCATTTAAAACTGCCCAACAAAGTCACGAGAACAAAGAGGCTATGAAGCACATGCTCCCAAATCAAAATCTACTTAGGTCCATGAAATGCACAGGTCCACAGCTCATACCTCCAGGACACCACTCTCAAAAAACTGGACTCAGATTCCGTAACATCTGGCCTTGATGACTGWTGTAAAAATCTTTTCTTCTAACAATCAAAAGTATTGTGTTAAAAAAACAGAACCAAAAGCTAAAAACAGGTCATCTAATCTCACACACACAGCCATACTATGAACTGTCTGGTCTACTAGTTATTGAATTTGCTTTTAGGCAAACAAGCAGCTAGTATAACATGCCTGACAATCTGCTTTCTCCATGGTACCTTAGCTGTGGAACTAAGAGAAGGACATCTCTCTGGAACAGCTAACAACTTGCAAGAAGTTTACAGACTGCATGAATCCTACTGAAGAATTATTGGAAGCTTGTTTCTCTGGCATTCTGAGAAAGTACTATGGATACAGACTTTCCTTCTTCAGAGAGATTTATGTCAAAGCAGTGCCAATCATAATTCCACCAGATTAATACTGAATGTTAAAAATTTGGAAAGTCCAAAAATCCTTGAAGTCTGAAATCTCCAAAAAGTCAAAATCCTGAAAGACTAAAATCTGAAAATGATGAAATTCTGAAAGCCGTAATCTGGAAACCACTACTCTCAGTGTGGCAGGGGGAGGAGGCCAACCTGGTAAAAGGCAAATTCTGTGGAGAGGAACAGAGGGAAAGTGAATTGGTCTCAGAGCTGGGATACTTTTCTCCTCTGTTGCCTTGGAGGTCAGAACTGCAGGACAGGCTGGGGGTGTAGTTCAGTCACACGGCACTTGCCCCACATGTGCAAGGCCCCAGATTTGCTCCCAGGACTGCCAAACGAATCATGACAAMACACAGAACCCCACGCTCACCAGACTTTTTGACTGTAGGACTCAAGATAAGCAGCCCCCTCAGGCTCAAGAGCTTTCAGCTTTCCCACTGTTTAAAATGGTCAGCATTTTTACATTTTTCTATCCTATGCACTGCAACACTTCCAATAGTAGAGGTAAAAATTACATTAAGACTTGGAGAAAGTCCTAACTTATGTGTTTACCACATTATCAGTGAAAGTGCATTATCACAGCACTGGCTTTCTGTGTAAACACCACGTACATAAAGATGCTGAAGTTTTCTCAAAGAGACAGACGTCCTTTCTGTACGTTTCCATCTGTGAAAGATTAAATTTCTCCAGCTCTCAGCTCCCTGGGTAATTCTTAGTGCAGTAGCCACCCATGGAGGTTTTTGACTGTTCTTCTGACTTAGTGGCCCAACCCGGTATTTCAGATAATCACTGTTATAAAGCTGGGTGCACACAATGACCTACCATGGTGACATGTATTTGTGTGTTGTGCTCTGTGACCTATTTCTTTGTGAATACAGTTCATCCTCTTCTGTGTTGCGAGTAAACCTGGATGTTTTTGCTTGCAAAAAGATGTATGTTGTCCATTTTCTTATGTAAAGTAGCCTATGAAATATTCCATCAGTGTTTTAATGTTTCTCAAATTATTCCTCTTTTTTTTTTAAAAAAATGTAAACAAATGTCTTTTAGAAACAACTTTAAAACTTTTTTCCAGAATCCTGTGTTTGAGATTTTGCTCTTTTCACGTTTTAGATGTCAAAGATTTTGATCTTTTAATGTGGGATTATGGCATTCAGGATTGTATCTTTTAGAGTTATGACCCAAACCCATGTCAAAGAAGGTAAATATTCTCCATCTATCCTTGTGAAAAGTATTCATGAAAATCATGTGTATATCYAAGAAGTAAAATCTAACAATTTATTAGCATTATGATCACTGCTTTATGCACATGGATTTTAACTAAAAAAAACAAAAATGCAAATGATCTGCCTACAAGTTCTGGTAGGTTCCATCTATTTCCACACCAGAGCCACATAAGGCAGCACAGTCACTCAGCAGCCATCCTGACCACGGATCCCTCCACTGCACTCAGGAGCAGTCCTGTACAGGGGAACCATGCAAGAGACAGGTGCACCCAGGATTACCGTAAGTGAGGATGTACAAGGGCTTTCCATTCGTGTCCATGGTGGTCAGGCAGGGAGCCTTTGGTGAGATGGTCCCCCATCGCTGCAAAGCAGCTTCCAGGGAAGGCGGCCAGTTCGTGACGACCCCCAGCTGCTCCCCTCGCATCGCCAGCATCTGGGCTCCCTCAGGCTTTGGTTGGTTTGGATCAGGTTGTTGAACTAAATATATTTCAACAGAAAGGGTTTTCAAGAACAATGCATCTGTGTTAGTATGACTGCTTTTTACTCTTTAAAAAGCCAAGTAGTTAATATTTAAGGTGTAAATTTGTTAGAAACGTATTTCTCTAGATTCAGGGTCATGATCTACATACTACCCTCATGAAGTTATCAAATATTTAATTCTTATAATTTCCAAGGCAAACAGGTGGGTGGAGAACTTGGGCAGACCCAAGCACATCTGGAAACTGACAAAAGGCAAAACACTATATTGTTTCAGCCCAAAGTTCATGATTAAAACCTCTCTGCTTAAAATTTAAATTTTCAGCACACAGTGATTTCAGACTCCCAACAGTTCCAATCTTGGAAAGTTATATTTTACCCTTAAACACTCAGGAGTAAATATAAATTTTCTTCGACTACTTTGATTATCAAGAACATGAAGCAAGTATTTTCTTGAGTAAAACTAAACAAACACATCACAACTAGAACATGGTCTTCCCCATGGTCTAGACATGGGAGGACCAAATGACTTCCCACGTTTCTGGTCAAGGTTTCTCCCTCCTCTTGTATGAYTGACCACTACCACCTGCTGGCCAAAAAAATCAACACCATATTTCCAATTTAACAAGAAAACAAGGAGTTCAGGTTTGATACAACAAGATCTTCTGTTAGGCTGTCTGTGAGGAGGCTCAAAACATTCTGTGGCCAGGACACCAGCCCCCAAGGACAGAGAAGCAGGAGAGGAGGAAGCAGAGCCCGCTGCCTGGCGTCCTCCACAAGCCTGCCTGGCGTCCTGCACAAGCCTCGCACAAGCTCACGGAGAGCTGCTCTGCTGAGATCTAAAGGTTCTGGGAAGTTAGTTCTGCACTTCCATCATCTCAGAGTCCTTAAATAGAGGCCTGGCTCATTCTATGAGCCCATATTCTGCTGAGGGTGTCAACCCAACTCAGCGCACCTGCTGATACAGAACCTACACTCTCTCCTAGATCATTTGGTGATTGCCAATATTATCACTCATTAAAAAATAAAACAGCTTTGTTGAAAAAAAAAAATCATTGTTTATGGAACCAGAGGAACACCTGGAAGGAACCAAAAGGGAAAGGGTTTTTCGTACCTTCTAACAACTCTTCAAAGTCATCAACAAAGAATTCTCGCAAAGGCGGTCGCTTRGGCCGTTTGAGGGTATTGACAAGCTGCTGAATTTTTGCTGATACCCGGCTACTTACTGGTACTCCTGAAAAACAGGAATCACGGGGTAGATGATCTGAGCATCACAGATGTAACGAGCAAATTTGGGAATAACAGGGGCTGGGGATGTGCCTCAAGCRGTAGTGTGCTCGCCTGGCATACCCAGGGCACTGAAATCRATCCTCAGCACCACATAAAAATAAAATAAAGATGTTGTGTCCACCAAAAACTAAAAATAAATAAATATTAAAAAATTTTTAAAACTTGGGAATAACAGGATGGAACCTGAGGAAAGTTGTCTATCAAATAAAATATTAGGAAGTAGTCTTAAAACACTGCATGGCACTTTAAGAATTGGGACATTAAGGGCTGGGGCTGTAGCTCAGTGGTAGAGCGCTGACCTTGCACATGTGAGGCACTGGGTTCAATCCTCAGCACCATATAAAAATAAATATATTGTGTCCAACTACAACTAAATTGAAAAAGAATTGGGACATTAAATACTTCAGTTTTAAAGATACGGGACAACATACAATCCACAATTCTTAACATGAAAATACCATTTTTTCCCATTAAATAGTTCCACTTAATTTGGTTTTTATGAATCAAAGGTCATTTCAAAAGGCCAGTGGATCCCAAGCATAGTTTAGAACACATACGGAAAAACTGTTCCTGGAGCACCCAGAGCTTCTGATTCATTAGGTTGTGGCATGGCCAGAACCTAATGAATCATTTGTTCTAACAAATGAAGAGGGTGGTGTCATAGCACGAGAAACCAGGGACTACCCAATGTGTGCTTTAGGACTTACCTGGGTGAACAAAAGCAAAGGTGACAGGATTATTAAAATGATGCCAAGATCAACAATGACCTATTTAATAAAAGTTTTGATCAGAGAACTAAAGCAAACTGAAAAGCATTCAAGGAGAGATGGGGTTGTGAYTCAGTGGTAGAGCACTTGCCTAGCATGTGTGAGGCACTGGGCTCAATCCTCAGCACCACATAAAAAAGGTATTCTGTCCATCTATAACTAAAAAAAAGCATTCAATGAAAACTAGCCATAATGGAAACTGAAGTGATTTCCACTGTATGAACTGGACAGCTCAACTAGTGGCTTTCCGGCTTTCACTATGCAGAGGAGGGCACACCACCTGGGACTTGGCCGTTCTATGTAATTATGAATCACACTGGTATCACAAGGTCATGAACAGAGTGAGTATGGTTCATCAATACTAGGCTGATCATCTTTAAAAAACAAAGAATAATAATTTTATTGCCATATTCTAACTTTTATGACCAGGGCATCACTGAGACTTAAGAGGAGGATCATAGCAAAAATGCCATGTCCATAATAAAGGTATTGTGTCCAAGTGTCCATAATAAAGGTGTTGTGTCCAAGTCCTACTTTGGGTTGGGTAATAGTCACTTTCACTAGAACATACAAGATTACAAATACAAGGGGCCAAGGTGAACCCTCTGTATTTTATTCAATCATTCATAATCTTTGTCCAGATTGGAGAAAAAGAGCTTCTTTCAAGATCTAAAGCACCATTCTACCAACAGCTGTCAAATCTTTAAACATTTAACTTCATCTTTCCCTTCTAAGTAACTGTTCACGGTCTTAGCACTTGAACTTTGATTTCTTAATTGCTGAAACAACAATGGTTTTTCATTAGCAATAATATCAGCATCTCATAAAATTTCTTTTTCTTCTCATGACAAGCTTCTGTAACATTTCTCCTGGACAATGTGGGGATGATCTGTATTTCCTATGGCCCCATAATGAAGGAAGCTCTATGGCAGGTTCATAAAGAATGATGATTAGAGTCAATGAACTGACTATAAATCTAGACACAGCATATCCAGTCCTGGGCACAGAAAGGCAAAGCATGGCCCAGCAGGAGCTCKCGAAGGAAAGAAGTCTTAAAGACCTACCGTCCCCAGTCTCCATGAGCTCGGCGTTGCCGTACTTTGGTGCTGTTCGGGATGTGGTGGAGCCCTGCGGCCTCTCCACCTGTATGGAGTGTTCTGAGGTGTATGTGGTTACGTCAGGAGGTGCAGAATGATTTTCTGTAAAGAAGCACATTGTGAGATGATCTTGACAGTTGTTGGAAAGGCTACGCAACAGGGCTTCAAAAATGCCACATCCTAGAAAAGTCTGGATGAGGTGTGCATCTTTGCACATCACCATACAGAAGGGTGACTCTGAACGGTAGCCACAAACCCCTGCACTAAGACTATCTTTAAGGTAGCTTATACTGTTCCAAAGGCAACAAAGTTAGGGCAACCTTTAGGCGATTTCACAAGGAGCCATGTTATTAATGAGTCTCTGAAACATTTTAAGATATTAGACAAGACAGTATGAAAAAGGTGTTTGTTGAGTGTTTTTTGTGACAACAGAGGCAGTAATGAGATCAAACTTTGGTACCAGAGGTCCTGTCATTCAAATGTCAGCTTCGCAAATTCCTAGAGATCTCGCTAAGCAGCTTAACCTGTCTCAGTTTCCTTATCCATCACATGGGAACAATAATGGCCACAACTTTGGCGGACAGTGGAGTATATTCAACAAGTTCACGCATGAAGAGCTCTTAGGATGTTCCTTGGTAAAGGCATCAAGAAACAACTAGTAATTTATTATTTTAGAACGGATAATACCGAGTTGTCATACAAAAAAMTGTTTATGATCTAATGTGTATTAAGTGGTATGTTATGCTCAATGAAATGAGCAGAAGCTTTTCCTTTTCAGCATTCATTGATGGTAAAGAACTTAAGGGCTGAATGACAGAACAGTGTTCACATTTACTAAATAAAGCATCAAGGAGGGCATGCCTAATAGAGACTATCAATGCATTTCATAATCTTGTTTTAGTAATGAGTATTACATTACTAATTTTGATTCACTAATCCTTATTAGAAACTTCTGGAGATCTCCTTTGTAACATTCAGAATGTCAGGAGCACATTATCTTTTGTGGCTGAAAGTGGCACTCCTCTGGAACAGGCTCCCTTTCCTGCCCACTCCAGTCATACACTTGGAGACTGTTTTATATAGTTAAACCACAAAAGCCCAAAACTGTGAAGCAGAAAACCATGGCACTAAACAGACCATAACAAGGATGCTTACAGTCTGAGAACTGAGCCCAGAGGCTGGGGTTGTCTTGCTGAACCTCTGCTGGGAACGTGTGCATCATACAACTTTTGAGGCTCCGTGCGTGCCTATGAAGGCCAAATATTGTTTTGGGCATCACAAATTTCAGCAAGTAGGAAAATATGCAAATACAGAATCTGTGAATAACGAAGACAGACTGTAGAAGTCAGCTTGCATATACTGAATGACAGCTGGGAAAAATTTGTCTGTGTTCCTGGGGTGGTTTCAAACGTTACAACCCAAGGCGATCAGCTCATCTCCACTTGCGTACAATACCCCCAGTAGCTCTTGGGGACTTGAGCCCAAAGGCTGAGGTATCTGGCACCAGGTATGTAACCGAGTTCCCAGGCTAAGGTGTCTATTTTCTGTTCTTTGATACGCAGATGACACCTACTAACACAGCAAGAATTAGTAAGTATGCACAAGCATCCAAACTTGGTCATCAGGCATGCAGACAYGTGCTGGGTACAGACGCCCTGTGCCATACAAAGCCATGAGCGCAGCCTGTAACTTGCAGCTTTCACATGGTCTGGATCCTGGAATGTCTGAGGGTGTGATAGGTGTCATCAGCCTCTGAAACAGACCCTTCAGCACATCAATTACCAAGAACATCTGCCAGTTAGGGGTGGAACTGTGTCCCCAGATCCACAGGTTGAAGCCCCGCCTCTCAGCGGAGCTCAGAATATGTGTATTTGGAGACAGGAACGTTAAACCGGTCCCCTGTTAAGCAAAATAAGGCTGTGAGGGTAGACCCCAACCTATTGTGACTGGGGTCCTTATAAAGATCAGGACACATAGAGGATGTGTGAGGACWTGGGGATGGCAGTCACCAACCAGCCAAGAGGTGGCCTCGGAGAAACTAATCCTGCCTGTGCTTAAGTGTCAGGTTTCCTGCCTGCAGAACTATGAATGCACACATGCCCACTGTTTAAGCCACCAGAGTGTAGGCTCTGCTACAACAGGTACATGTGGGGGGGATTAACAGGAGTGGACCTGTGAGTGCCAAACAGGGAGGTGTGGAAGGACAGGGCGCCCCACCTGGAGGCCATGAGGATGGGGGAGGGAAAGGCTCATTCAGATTGCTCAAGCTGCCTCGACACTCAGGACCACCTTTATCCTCTTCACCATGCCCCATCTGCACGCCTACCAAACAGGCTTCAGTTCACGCTTCAAGATGAACTAGTCTCCAGAACTCCATCTCCTCGCAGCCAAGCAGTATTCTCACTTCAAGTGAGAACACACAGATGCTACTGTAGGATGAATAAAATTTGAAACCAGGCTCCTAACATGAGAGTGGCTAGAGTACGAGCTCACTGCACCTCCAGCTGATTCCAGGGACTCTGCACGTCAGCAGGCTTCACCGTCAGGGACTTGGTCAGGCTCTGCACCGGGCACTGTGCCCACTTTGAAGGTGGGGAAAATGATTCCTGTACATCTGGTGACTTAAAAAATAGCAACAGGGACAGCTGGGAGACTCAAAGTGCTTTCCAAATTAATTTATGTGTCACCTCGTGTCTCTTTCCCTTCGAACTCCTCCCATAAGTCCTCACCGCGGGATGACAAACCCGGCAGCTGGCCAGGAAGCTGCCACTGTGGTGCCACTCTGTGCCTGCTGTGCCAGAGGGCAACACTCTTGCACCAAGTGGAGAACCACCTTCCGAGGACTACCTAAAAGAATGTCGCACACAGAGAGGCTCTAGCAGTGCTTGCTGAGAAGAAACAGTGGGCTCAGGCTGGAAGGGTAGGTTCAAGGTCTCAAGAGCTCATCAGCTCCAGCACAAGGCCAAGGAAATCCAGGTGCATTTTGAATTAAGGACTCTCATGAGGAGTTCATTTCTTCTGAGAAAAACTGCCCACTGTTCTTCAGATCTRTTTCATGGGCTTTTAAAACTAAGAGGAAAAACGGCAGCCATTCTTCAAGCCCCACATCAGCTGTCACCTTCACTGTGAATCCACCCCTACAACCATTTCAAAGACCTTTACCTCCACTTCCCCCTAACTGTCTGCAGACTTTCCCACTGGGAGGATCGGCCTCAGTTACTCTAACTTATTACTCTGAGCAGTTGACGTGGGTTCCTTCACAATCTAGAAGGTAAGATATAAGCAACACGAAGGTTAGAGGACACATCATTCAACCATTTAATCACAGTATCTACAAGTTACTTTGACCATGAGTACCAGGATCGCTCCTTGCCCCTTAGGGGTCTTCAGTCTATCACTCACACCAAAACAGTCCACTACTGTTTGCTCAGCTGTTTCCTGGCCATGACCCATTTCTGGTCCTGCCTGAACTTGCCTGGGTGATTCTTTGACTTCCCCAACTTGACTCCTTCCTAACCATGTGCTCCTGTAGGTCTCTGCTCACTCCAGCTCCCTAGTGGGTACAGCTAGAGAAGGTGTTTCTCAGGTGCTGAAGCTACAGAACACCCTGCCCATATCTGGCAAGCTCAATAAGTGTTGGAGGAAGAGTTCAATGAATGAAGCATGAATGAATCAATTCACAAACACTGACAAGCAGTGGTAAAGTGCTACACTTCTAACACAGGCTAAAAACAAACATCAATTCTAACTATGACAGAGTCCCAAGTGGCCAAGGGTGACAGATCCCACTTGTAGGCCATGTTAATTAATTTTTGGTCTCCAAATGACTTTTAAAAGATGAAAAGTTGAAAATCCTGTTTTAATGTGTAGAAAGCAATGTGCCTGTGTTCCACTAATTGACAACGGATAATGAATAAAGCTCTCAAAGGAACCTAACTTTGCATAAAGAACATCCGATCCCTAGGTGGATTAAAGCCACCACCACTGTTCAGTGAGAGCCAGAATAAATATGCTCCCATTTCCTGACAGGTGGTAGACTGCTTCTACTTGGGGATACAGAACCAGGCAGCTAGGTAAGCACGTGCAGGTGAGAGAAGCAAGGAGACAGGATTTGTCCATTTCTCCTCACAGGCTGCTCAACTGTCCCAACTCCAAGGCTGACCCATGGGAGGCTACAAAACCRCAGAGGGATGCAGGCCCAAGCTGTTCAAGAGACTTGCTGGAGCACAGAGGAGCTGAGCCTAGTTTCTCAAGTGTAAATCCCTTCCCTGCCAAACAACTTCCTCAGACATAATCTAGACAAAAGACAGTTCATGCTAGGAGGAATTTGGAACAGTATATAGAAAGGAGGGCGCCATGCCATGTAGTGTCAGAGCACCCAACTCTGTCCTCCTTTGGCCACTGGACACCCGGACACTCACTGCATCAACGCTGTCTTCCATTTCCAAATAATCAGAAGGTGAGACTTCCTCCTTAGTCTCGCTAGAGTCAGGGTCTACACTTCTGATGGTTCTAAGGGAATGCTGGTGTAACTGGCTTCAACCTGATGACACGCGACAATACACATAAGGATCAATCCAAGCATGTAAGCTAGGACTCAAAACACCTATCACACCCRAGGAAACATCTCGCTGCTTTTAATAATCATCCAAAGACAGGACAACCCTGGTTTTACCTCGTGTTCTTGTATTCCTTTTCCCACTATGTGTTGAACTGCTAATGGTGACTCAACAGCTGCCCTTCAGATCTGCATACAAGTCCTCTATAGATTATGACAAGAGACAGAAAAGGCTTTTGTGGTTCTATATGCAAACATTTCTCAGTCATGGTTCTGAGACCAGGTTGACTTTCACAGAATCACATTTTTCCTCAGATTTTGACTGGTTTTTCTTCAAGTTTACATCGTGAAGACCCCATAAAGCCGAGATCTGCAATGGAAGCTCCTATGATGCACTTGGCGTCGTGGCCAAGGAAAGGAACACCACAGTACCCCGAGCTCCCATATCATGTGGTAATTACTGCAAGACCTCCCTTCACGCAGCAAGGCGGAGGGTTCCTCTGGGCCTTTCTGCCCTTTGTGTGGGTCTTTTTCTCTTAAGAGCTCTAAGAAAGAATCTGTGAAATTCAYGAACACAAAGGTGCAAATGACTTGTTTCTACCTTGAGTTAAATGCATTTTAATATTGAGGGAAAAAACCAGATATAAACCAATGTGTTCCTATTATGTACATTCACATGTAAGTGAGATCAAGGAGGTATTCCTGCAAAAGGGAGCACCAATCTCCTGCAGAATGGATTGTGAAGTGGATTCAGGACTAGGATACTTTGGGGCCCTCAAGTTTTTATTTGGATTTTTATAGATTCCAATGAAATAAAATCAATTTTGAAAGATGAGAATCAAAATCATTTTGGGGGAAGATAGGCCCATACCTGTTTTAACTACACTGTTGGGGCAACAAGGTATGAACAGCTCGAAAGGGATAGCAACACGGGGCTAAAAAGGACAGGAGGAAGCCTGCGAGACCCATGCTGTGACCAGATCCACAGACACAAGACATGCAACTGAGGAGCAGCAGTGGCTCAGAATCAAAGGCAGGCATGGTTCTGGACTTCACAGTTGGAAGAGTCTCCATTCTGCCTGGTGCTAAGCTCATTCAAGATCGACTTCCCTCCCCCAACCTTTTTTTTTTTTTTATATACAGGGATTAAAAACACTAAAATAAGGGTTGGCAAACTACAGAGAGTGGTTTGCCTGCCACCTGTTTGTATAAATAAAGTTTTATTAGCACACAGCCATGCTTGTTTGCATCTTGTCTACAACTGTGTGCTCAACAACAGAGCTGCAGAGTTGCCACAGGTCCATGTGGACCACAGAACCTAAAATAGTTACTCTTCAGCCCTTTATAGGAAAAACTTGCTGRCCTGCTCTAAAGTTATAAAGTTCTAGCTTCAAGTTCCCCAGCTAAGAGGGGTGGGCACAGCAGGGAGGTCCCAGGCCTAGGCAGACAGGTTGGGCCAACATCGCCAACCTAAAGGTGCAGGTGATCATTTAGGATATGTTTAAAAAGTATCAAAAACACTTAGGAGGATTATACATAACAAATGAGTGCAATTTATCCCAACAGTGGCTATTCTAGCAGAATCTAGAACTAAAATGCACAACTGCAAGGTCCAGATAATTATGTACCCAAGAAGCAAGCAAATCTCCAGAGTGAACATGATTGCCTGTTGACTTCCTATCTTCTTAGCAAGAACCGATGCAAGAAATCTGTTGAGAATGTAGTGGTTATTACAAACAGCAAATACCAAAAGTAACACTGATGTTTACTCAACTCCAAAGCACTCTGGAAATGGCAGTTACTTTATGAATATCTGGCTAATGAAAATATATCCCTACAACATGCTGTGACAATGTCAGCAGATGAGCACATCAAAGGATTAGAGGCTAATAATACGTTTGGAGCTGAAAAATGAGAAAAGCCATAAGTCCAATATCCTAAATATAAATTTATTCTAAATAGGTAACATGCATCTCCTGTTGTTCTGTTGCTTCTAGAAATGTACTATGTGTCTCTTCAATTCCTCCATCTCTATTTTGCTAAATAATTCCTATAATCTGAACATATTTTAACAAATGTGTTAAAACTGAACATATTTTTACAAATATACCTCTTTAAGTTTAAAACATTCCACTAAATCTACTGCTTACTGTAYGTTATGCACCACTGTTGATATTGGTAAGATATTTTAGAACGTGAGACCCTTCATTTCTAATCATATTAAAGTTTTTGATAAATACATTCTGGGAACATGAAGAGTCATCCAGGTTCTCACAATAGAGCTGGCCTGCAATGCAGGGACATGCACAGGGCAGGTGTGACCTTCCTGCACTGCCCTTGTTCAGTCTCAGACCTCAGCATCCTCAGGTGGAGCTGGGCTTGTCGAGGTTCTGCAGTAAGAGTAACAGGCACACCTTGCAAGATGCACAGCAAGCAAAGCAGGAGAAAAAGAGAAAAAGCAACCTGTAATAGGATTTTTGCATCCTTGCCTAAATCAGCTTGGCTATGTCATGGGAGATGTCCCTGTGTAATTGTTGGCATAATGAAATTTGTGGAATTATCTACGAAAGAAATTTAGAACTCTGCTTCAACAACAAAGTAGAAGAATGGCCTACTGTGGAGGGAAACCACATGGTTTTCAACCCCTTAGCCTTTTTATTACTTGGAGGAAAGAAGTCTCTGCAGTATCTAGCTTAAGTTCTTCACCTGGGGATCAGCAAACATGCCTGGGGTCAGTTCTGCCCTGAGCTCTTCCAAACACCCCCACACTCACTCAAGCTATTGTCTCGTGCATAGGCTTTTGATGATCTCAACCAAAGGTCAAATCCTGCCACTCCTGACTTCCCTTTTGTTTTGTGACAGGAATAAAGTATTCTAAGCCTCATTAGGTTTATTTTGTCATTGCTTTCTTTCCAAAAATACTTCATACTTACAGAACATTCCCAGATATTCTAGGAACTTTAGCTTTGTGCCAAATGAGAAATTACTGAAATGTCACACACTGAGGAGTTATATTTAGGTTACACTGAGCCTTGATGAACATGAGTAATGCAACCTTTTATAGTCTGGATAAATTTAATTCTCCATGCTATAATTTCCTCCAAAATTCCAAGTGTAAACTCACACAGGGAAAGCCAAATGCAGTGATTACGTTGTTCAGAAACATGTGTTTCTCCTGGTAAGATACTGAGCACCTCCTTGAAAAGTGAACAAAATTGGAAAATACGAATCCTTTCATGTACAGAGATCATGTGGACCTTCCTGCCCAGATGCCAGGTCAAGCTGACGAAGTCTCCACCACCACCCTGGGTCCCAACATGCACGAGAAATTATATTATCTAAGAAAATTTAAGGGAGACACAATTCTATTAAATGTTTAATTTACTGTGATTTAAAATGGGTTTTAGTTCACATAAACCAGTGTCTGTTGCCAGAAATGTGTTAAAACTGAAATAATATCACTTTGCTTTCAGGTATTACTTAGAAACTTATGAAAACGTCCTCATTTTTCTCGTAACTCTTCTGTGATACACAAGAAATAAATTATTTTTTCCAGTTCTCCCGCCCCACCCTCGCCCGCCACCCAATGCACTAAAAATCTAAAGCAGGGAAAAGTGACATTAAGACCACAGTGGTGTCCCCAGGAGAATTGGGAGCAGACCCCACTTCCCAGCATTTGACAAATTGTCTCATTATGGATGTGAAAAGGCCAAGGCTTTTAAACTTCAACTTTCCCTCATGACCAAGAAGGCATTCCTTTATAGATGGCTCTTGAAATTCCAGCTGTGGGAGAGACTGGTGTGGTGAAGTTCCAGACAGCAGTACAAACCAAAGCACTCCAAGYGTCAGAGGGGCTCCATGCTATTTCCACCAAATGGATTCTGCACCCAGGATACATACAAAAGAGAACAAGGGACTCTGCTACTCAGTGCCTGCTCAGGTAACACAGAGCAAACCAGTACTAGGAAAGGCGGCGAGCCAGCCAGCAGGGCACTCACCTATGTGCGTCTGTGCCATGACGTCCGCCAGCCTGTGGGCGGCCCCGCTGCCCCCGCTCTGTGTGGAGGAGGAAGAGGTGGTGGACGTGGTGGAGCCATGGATGGCTTGGCTGATCCAGTGCTCCATGTTGATGCTGCCCTGGCTGGAGGTGGGGGTCCCCTGGGAATCACCCTGCACCGAGCCTTCGTCTTCCGAGCCAGAAGAGGTATCTATGTGGAACAGGAGACGTGGTTGCTATATGCAGCAGCACAGAAGCCCCTCACTCTCAACCCCCTCCCAACACTGCCAGCTCCACCTCACCTCACTCAACTGTTCGACAATATTTTGCTTCAAACACCCTGAAGAACTGATTCCACCTTACAGATAACATCTTTTCCCCCCTTAGAATTTTTCATGCCAAATAAGTTGAGATTGCTATAAAACATTTATTTTGATGTTATAGTATTAGATGAAAGATACTCACCAATTTTCCCCACACAACCCTTTTGGAAAGAAATCAATTTCTTTGCATGCATCCACTAAGTGCCAAAGATGGAGTCACACTTTCTTAAGAACTTCTAGAGCCTGTGCTACATTCGTGTGTTTCAGAGTGTGATGGTTTTAGCCCTTGGTAATCCTGAAATGCTCTAAGCTACATGTTTTAAGGCTCAGCATGAACTTAAGACACTCATGTGCCTCCTCCAAGATTGGGGTACTAATGAAGAAATGRTGTTGAAAGAAGAATGCCCCTTACATAGTTGGCCCCACCTCACCTTCACCAACCTGCATGCTCCTGAGGTTCTGCCCCTTCCTCTGGTGCATGCCATAAACTTTCATCACCTTACAATTTTATACACAAACTAAATCTATTTACTTATATTCATTTCTCATGAAATCTCATTAGTTGCTTATTTTACTGTGAAAAACTGGGTAACAGGGGTTGAGATCAAATACAATGTTTTTCATTGAAATTAATGGCAAATTTTCCATTTAATAACTTCCCATTTAGCAAGCACAAGCAAGAATGWATCATATGCAATATGTGTTACTTAAGCTTCACTGTAGGATTCACACTCAGGATCCTTCCTACCCACTCGCAACTTAGATGCCAGGAAGCAAGAAGCCACATGAACACTTCCACAATATTCAGCAGGAATAATAGCAATGACAACTAATGCCACGACATGGTGTTTAAACACACGACTCTTCACACATGACCCATGAGTCACATGACCTATTCTATCTAGAAATTTTAAAAAATTGTTAGAAATTTGTTAGGAAAGTGACAATAATAAGAAAACCCTCTCCTATTCACATATAACTTAGTTTATATAAAAATACAATCTATATAAAATTCACATATTTTACATATTCATACTCAGCTTTTAAGAAATGCACATATTGGGGTTGTGGCTCAGTGGTAGAGTGCTTGCTTAGCATGTATGAGGCACTGGATTCAATTCTCAGCATCTCATAAAGGCCCACTGACAACTAAAAAATGTAAAAAAAAAAAAAAAAAAAGAAAAAGAAAAAAGAAATGTATCCTTATCCCCATGCGGAAAATGGCCATTTCCCCAGGAAGCCTTTCAGGCCCCTTTCCAGCCAATCTTTCACTTCTCAATATCCCCAAACTTTTCACTAGAAAACTGGATAACATTTTCCATGCTATGTACACAAAGATTCTCCACAAAGTATYAGCAAACAAACAAACAAAAAGCAACACATAAGGCGGAAAAAAACATGACTAAGTGGTGACTAGAACCAAACATTACCAACAGGAATTAAGGTGGACTTAACATTCAAAAATGATTGTTACACAGCACATAAACACAGAAAAGCCATATCTGAAGACAGAAAAGGTGTCTGATAAAATCTATCACCAACTGAAGATTAAGTTTCTCCACCAACTAAATTTCCTCAATGTATCACATGACATTTATGAAGAACCCACAGCTAACACTGTATTTAAAGGTAGAAGATGAAAGGCACTTTCCTAGAGACCAAGAACAAGCCAAGGACGGCCTTCTTATCACTTCTGTTCAACATTATCTGGAAGATTCTAGCTAATGAAATAACAAATAATAAGGACATCCAAATTGGGAAGGAAGAACTATCTTTTTCACAGATGACCTGATCCTGTATGTAGAAAATGGCAAGAAATCCAGCAAAATTTTCCCAAACGGAAAGTGAGTTTATCAGGGCTGGAGTTGTGGCTCAGTGGACGAGAGCTTGTCTAGCAAGTGTGAGGCACTGGGTTTGATCCTCAGCACCACATAAAAATAAAGGTATTATGTCCACCTACAACTAAAAAAAAAAAAAAAAAAAAGAATTTAAAGTGAGTTTATCAGGATCATAGGATATAAGAGATTAAAATACACAAATACTAACTGAATAATTGTAAAATTTCATTTGTAACAACATTAGAAAACAAAATACTGAGCAAACATCTAGCAAAAATGTATAAGACTTATATACCAGACACTATGAAATATCACCAAGAGAAATAAGACCCAAATAAATGGAAATTTAGGGCTAGAATTGTAGCTCAGTGGCAGAGTGCTTGCTTAGCTCATGTGAGGCACTGGGTTTGATCCTTAGCACCACACAAAAATAAACAATTAATTAAATGGAAATTTAATATGCAGATACTCATGTCATGGATTGGAAAACAATCATGTCCAGGAAGCAATTCTCCAATTGATCCACAAGTCCAAGGAAATCCTTAAAAAAGTCTCAGAGGGCTTTTTTGTTTTGTTTGGTAGAAACTGAGTGCTTATTCTAAAGTTTATTTAGAAACATGAAGACCTAAAATAGCTAACACAATTTTGAAAAAGGAAAATTAAAAATGACGGACTTCACTACCTGATTTTAAAACTTAAAAAATTGCATTAAGTAAGACAGTGGTATTGATTGCTCAAGGATAGGCATATGTCTATTATCAGGGGAACAAAACTGAATTCAGAAATAAAGTCTCACGTTTGTGGCCGATTTTTGATAAAGGTCCTGAAACAATAAGAAATAGTCTCTTCAAATGCTGCAGGGTCAACTGTACATTCACTAAGACCAAAATGTCCACCTAAAAGACAACATCAACAACCAAAAAAGAAACGCAGATCCTTACATCATAGTACACAAAAATTAACTCAAAACAAATCGCAGACCTATATGAAAGGCCTGATACCTATATGAAAGGCCTGAAACTAAAACTTCGAGAGCTTCCAAAAACACAATCCACGAAATAAAAATTGATGAATTAGACTTCATAAAAATAAACTCTCGCTTTTCAAAATACTATCCTTTTCCATGGCTAACACAACAAGTCACCACTAACACACACTGACTTACGAAAGACATTTATTATATTACAGTTCGGCAAGTCAAAGCCTAAAAATCAAGGTTTCGGCAGAAGTGTGTTCTTTCTGGAGGCTTCAGGGGGAAATCTAAGCGTTCCATCTCAACATGTTTAAATTCAACATCTAGAAAGTCCCTTTTGTGGTGTCAGGTAACAAACCCAGGGACTAGGATAAAAAGTCTTTGGTGGAGAAGGCACACTATGCTGTCTACCACCAGACTCTATTAAGAAATGAAGAGAAACCACAGTTTGCAAATTGTACACATGTAAAAACGAATTATATTGTTTATATGAAGAACTAAAAACCTAGCAACCTGATAAGCCCATCATACTTAATTTTAATGGGCAAAAATCTGAACAGATATTTCAATGAATGTTTACAAATAATTACTAAGCACATTAGAAGAGACTTACTCTCCTTAGTTGTCAATGAAATGAAAATTAAAACCACAAAGACATACTCTTTCCACTACATCCTCTAGAACGGCTATTGTAAAAATAGAGACAATGTCAACCACTGGTGATGGCATGGAACACCTGGAATGCTCATTTGCTGGTGGGAATGCACAATTGTACAGCCACTTTGTAATCAATGGGGCATCTCTCTCAAAAACTAATCAAAAACATTTAATAAAACAGTAATTCCACTCCAGGAAGACACTCAAAATGCAATTATGTAAACTGTGTAGCCCATAACACCGTATCATTAACAACAGAAAGCAGACAAACAGAGACATGAAAAGCATTGGGATCAAAATCACAGAAACAGATCAGAAAGTAGGTTCAATCCTTTCTTTTTCTGATAGACACCAGGATGATTTGTTTCATTTTGGTGTTTGAAGATCGTGAGATACCGTTTCTAATTATTTGGGGTAGAGTAAAACAGAGAACTTGGGTAGTTACATAGAATATGGGATAAAATAAAAGCAGTATTGTAAAACCATTATAGTTCGCAAAAGTTTCAAGTTTGTCCTCTAAAGGTTAACGTGTTGGAAGACAGCACTCAGTTTGTCAGGAAGTGGTGGAACCTTGAAATTGGTCCTAGTGCAAGATTCTTAGGTTGTGTGTTATGTCCCCCAGAGGAACCAATGGAGCTCAGAGGATCCTTAGTTCCTGGGACAGTAAGTAGTTATAAAAAGAGCAAGGCTGGCCCTGACTCCCTCTGGCCTCCCGTCTCTATGTGGTCTTTTCCTCTTGAACCTGCCAGGATGCCATCTTTGTTCCAAAAAAACATCTATACTGCAACAAAGCCAAAGGCCCAAACTAGAGCCAAGCACATGTAGGGACCATGCTCTTGAACATCCAGAACTGTGAGCTAAAGTACCCAGCCTCAGGTATTTTACAGCAACAGAAACCAAACTAATCGAGTAGCAGAAACAAGTTATTACCTACAGCCATTTCAATTAGGGGTTATCAGGCTCGTGGATCGGATCTGGCCCACTGCCTTTGTAAATAAAGTTTTGATTGATACACTACATCAAAAAACTGACATTCTGTTAATGGATGCTTTCACACTACCATGGCAACTTTCACAGAAACCTTTTGGCCTACAGATGCTAAGATACTATGTGGCTCTTCACAAAGTTTGATGACACTTGATTCAGGTACCTACCTATAGTTATCCAATGTTCTTCATTTCTTCAACAATACAACAGAGTATATCTAGAACACCTTATGTATGTACCAATCTAAGCTGAAGAAAAATCTGAGTTCTATTAGAACTCTACAGGTACCAATTCTTTTCTTTTCCATATGAAGAATTAAATGGATACAATTTATAAGACTTGAAAGTACATATTAAAGAGTCTATGAAAAGTCCAGAAGACCTTTCTAAAGTAACTCAAACTGCTTTTGGACTTCTGGTTCATAAACTCCTGAATTATAGTATCATTTATTGGAAGCCAAAAAGGCAGGCTGAGGGAAAAGCAGTTAATTCTGAGATATACTTAATACTTTTAAGCAGCAGAGAGAAACTAGTTGCTCACCTGGAGGCGTGTAGGCATCCATCGAGGTCTGTACAACCAGGGACCTGCGTTTGGAAGGCATAGGCACCGCCATCTTCCTTTCTTTGTGTTTAGCAAGAGCTGCCTGAACAGCTTCTGTGTGAACGTCTGAAACCAAGAGAAAGCCAATCACTGCACTGTCAGCCCAGGATCCTGAAGGCCAGTGCCTTCCTCCTTCCCAAGGCATAGTCTCATCTTACTGAAGTTCACCCATAGGAAGGGAAGGAAAGCAGTTAGACCTACCAGCCTGAAAGCCTCAATAGAAAGTTTTTAAAATTCATTCAGACTTTAATTGTACATTTTATTATCATAGAATTGGCATAAATGATTAAACATTGGCTATAAAGTGTTCTCTGATTTTTTTCTTAAGGTGAGCAGACCTGGATCTTTGGATATTTCTCAAGGTCATGTACTGGAGCCTTATAATTCATACCAATGTATTGTTGAGGGACATACATAAGGTTGCAGCTTGTTAGTAATAAAGCCTACACTTACTGAGTATGCATTCAGTGATGGGCCAGGCACTGTACTAGGCTTTTAATGGATATTAACCCATTTTCTCAATTCGCCATGTATTTATTGAATGCCTATTCTGAGGTAGAGTCCCAAAGGGTTGGGAATCCAATAGTGATGTGACAGATGTCGGCAATATGTCTCATGTAGCACCGTGACAAAAATAACAATTAGGATGGAGAATTAATATATGTAACAAATGTGCCAAGTGGCTACTTTTACTCTGAAGAGTGGGGCCAGACGAGAGCTCCCTCCAGAAGAACACCCCCCAGCCCCGGTGTATGAAATTGGACTGAAAATGAATAGCCATTAGCTGTCAACATGAGTGTCTTTCCCAAAGCACTGGGGAAAACTACCGAAGAGGAGTTGATTGAGGTCGGGCTTGGGGAAGATGTCTGGAAGGAGCTGTGTTGTCTGAGGGTCCTCRAGATGTCATTGGAAAGGTAGGAGCATAATGGTGTTTAAACTGAGCATGAGTGTGGCGCTGGCTGGGGTTGAGGGAAGGAGGATGCAGGCATTATGGCCCATGGCCATGGCCAAAATCTGGGGCTATTCAAGTAAGGTAGGGAAAGCATAGGAGGCAGGCATGAATCTACTTCCATTTTGATGGAACCATTCCTGTGGCTGTGGAGAAGACTGAAGGAGATGCTCGAAGACCAGTTGGAAGTYACTGTCCACATAACGAAGAAAACCCTCAGAGTATTCTAAGCAGTTCTGAGGAGGTGGTACCCTGATTACTCCCATTTCATAAACAAGCAATCAGAGGTGTTCTGAGTCAGAAATCTCCCTGTTATGAAACTGGTGAGTGGCAGGGCTAGGAATCCACTCCAGGTGTGAATACCTCCAGGGCCTCTAACACCATTATGCTCTAACCCTTCCAGTGACATCTCTAGGACCTATAGACAACACAGCTCCTTCCAGACATCTTTCCCAAGCCCAACCTCAATCAACCCAGTTCTCTACCAGAGGACTATTTCCATTTTTGTGTGGCTGGGCCAGGGAAGCCCAAGAGTCACGTTCAGCCTCTAGCTCTTTCTGTAAAGAGTGGCTCAGGGGGCACAGCAACACTGCTTGTCCCTGTACAGTCTACAGGTGCTTTCATACCGTGGAAGCAGAGACCACAATTACCCACAGAGCTGAAAGCATTTGCTATCTGGTCCCTCACAGGAAACACATGGCTCCCTGGGTTTGAAAGCACTCTGCGTGCCCTACACAACCAAACCATCACGTTGTCTTATCCCCTTTAGCTTGTGTGTGCTCTGGTCTTTTCACTTCAAGGAGATTCACAGTACTTTAAGACAGTTTTTTTGATCACTGCTTTCCTAGGTTTCTGATCAAAGACTAGTAACTGAATGRCATGGATCTGTGGGCTCAAAACTAAAGAGCTGATCCATTGTGAGAAAATATTAGTTTTCCCACAAATCAAACACTGTCAATTTTACATGTTCTTTTTAAACTAATATTTTCAAACTTAGAGAAAAATCTACAAGAATAAAGAATTCCCTTTTAAGCTTACACCCAGCTTCACCCGGTGTCCACATGTCACCCCACTGCTTTCTCCCGCCCCCTCCACTCTCTCCAGGCGTTGTTCTCTGAACCACTGCTACAAAGCCATGCAGTTCCTAAAAACAAAGAAATCCCCTTACGTTACAAAAACTTTCCTCAAAATCTGGAAATTTCACAATCTATTATCTAATCCAAAGCCCACATTCAATTAATGTCAATTACCCCAGTAATTTCCTTGATGGTTACTTGGTCTTCCTAGTTTGTGATCTAACCCAGGATGAGATGGGTTGCATTTGTCACATTATCCCTCCTTAATCTTAAGTTTCTCAAATTTTCTAGAAATTGGAAGTTTTGAATAGTACAAGTCAGTTGTTTTGTGGCCCTTCCTTCAATATGGTATTTGGTTTCTTTCCAATGCCCTTGTAATCAGATTTGGATAAGGCATCTCATCAGGGACATGGCAGACAACTGTCTTCTACAGGTGACAAACTTTGATCACTGGTAAAGGTGGTGTCTACCAAGTTCTTCCAGGGTAAAGATGCTACTTTTCCACTGTAATTGAGAAGTAATTTGGAAGGAGATACTTGGACACCATGAAATTTTAAAATAATCTTTGGTTTAACTTCTCTACCTCTCTGGACAAAGGCAAGAGGATACTTAAGCAAAATAAAACGGACCGCAACTTGAAGAAATGTTTATATGCTTCTTGCTGCAAAAATTTGTCTTTAGGCACTCCTACTTCCAGGGCTTCCTCAAAAGGCTTGGTGTGCACTTATATATCATAAATAATGTTATTAACAAACTATSATACTTTTCTACTCCAAATCTTTCAAGATCCATGAGAGGTGAAAGCTGAGCAATGCATAAACTAATGCAGTAATTAGGCAAAATCTTTTAAAACAGGCAAGTGTATATTCTATTTTTACCATAAAACAGTACCACAATATACATTGAAATCATCTATAAATAGCATCTTAAAGATTCTATCAGACTCTATATTGAATAATAACGTTAAGGAAAATGACAGAATAACCCATTCACAAACGGCATTCTAGGGTCTGATTCCTGCAGACCCACAGGCAGCAAAACAGCCAATTAAGACGAGGCGAAGACGTGGGTAACAACTGCCCCAGAGCTGAAGATCAGCCTCTTGGCTCCAACCTTCATTGGCAGAACTGAATGTCTAATTCAGCATTTACTTCCGTGTGCTAAGCTGATGTAGGGCTTAACAATCCCAGTTCAACCCAAAATATCCATGCCAAATAAGAACGTTAGCCTACCAACGCTTTAAAAGTGATTAGATGACAGAATAATCTCTGTGAAAAGATGTTTTGAAACATGATCACTGGCGGGGGAAGGAGCCCAACCCCGGCATCTGGTGACACTTCTGATCCTTCCAAGCTTTGCTTCTTCCTCCTTTTGCTCTCCTTAAATCTGGGTGCACTTCCAGCTCCCAACTTGCAAGAAAACAGAATTGTTACTGGTGAAGCTTCAACAAAGTCCGGCCTATAAGATGCAGGTCTAATAGCCAGAAGGCCGATCCTGCAGAGGAGTCCAGGGCAGAGGAAGACGTGCCACAGTGTAAAGGGACACCATGAGGTCTATTTCCTGCAGGCACTAACACCAGTGGATGACGGGAAGGCGCCAGCCAGTTGGAGTGCCCGGGACGCAGGAAAGGGGCAGTATGGGACAAGCAACAAATGAGATTGGATATTAAAGAAAAAGTTTACGGTTCGTTGTTCCAAAACCAGATGAATCCTAAAAGAGCTCCTAAGATCAAGAACTTTACAGAAAGCACAGCAAAATGAGTAAATAGGTTGCTATAAATCTTCCCTTTGTTTTCATAAAATGAGTCTATGAATGAAATTCAGCAGCTGTGATGCATCAGAAACCCATTAAAGGACTTAATTAGTGTCCCACAAAATCTTAATTATAAATGTTCTGTACAGGTTTTTCCCATCCAAGTCAATTACAATCAGATGAGGGGCCGAGGAAGGAGAAGGGAGGAACAGAACTCACTTTCGAGCAGCAGCCTAGCCACATGATGGGAGCTGATTGCAGGGTCCTCTGTGTCCATGAGACGTTTGCAAGATTTGTGGGTACACTAGATGTAAGTGTTGTGTACCCCAGTGCCTATCTGAAACACAAACCTAAAGAGAACTTGCCTCAAGGAAATAATCTGGCTCCAGAGCTGTACATTTAGTCTCCTAAACAAGACTTATTTTCTAGCATTTCTAAGCATCAACACAGGCGAATAGTAGTGGACAAAGATGTTTCAGCCTGTGAACAGGCTAGGATCAGGAGCTTATACTCCCCACGGAAATGGAAAATGATTTTCATTCAGGATCCCAGGGTGGTGTTAATATATTACCAAAGCACAGAAAAGCAGCAAACATGCACCCCAGGAAACAGGACAGGAAAAAGGGAAGTGGGCAGAACGGCTGGACCAAGGACTGTCAGGAGACCTTAGCAAGGGTGAAGGCCTGAGGGCCCGGAGATGAAGCCTTTGGCAATGTGGTAATATAGTGCTCTGGGATGATGTGCTGCCCTCCGGGGGCAAGGAGGGAGTCTCTGGGGAGCATCCTGCAAAGCTGAGCGGGTACCTGCTGGCTGCCATATGATATAGGGCCTAGACAAGCTGGGCACACAGCAGGCCCAAGTGAAGCTGCAGCTCCTGAAACACTTCCATCAACAGCTGAACACAACATGTAAAGGGCTCAGATCCACAGCTTCCAGAGAAGGCAGTGAAGGATGATGAACTTGGAGCTGAGAGGCGATCAATTTGAGGTAGCTCACTTGGTGATACGAGGTGAATTCTCCTTGTCTGTCCATCTTTGCTCTACCAATTTATGGTTTACTCATGTTGGGCCTTTAATTCTAATAAACCAAAAGCACTATTCTATGAAGATAAATGATTTAAGATGAGCTTCATGCAGCACTAAATAAGCAGATCACTATCATCTTTGAATAATTTGTTGAGAATTTCTTATGTTTATGGAATAATTTGTTGAGAACTTCTTATGTTTATAGCATTAGAGAAATTGCGCTAATAGGTATTTTCTCAGAATTTTTTAAAAATCCTAAAAATG